CAATTAATACACCAACCACCCATTTCAGAACGAACTTCGTACGAACCTGAAATAGTCCGATTTCATGGACCAAACGATATCGGATTGAGTCCAAAACTTGGGGAACAACATAATGGTGGGAGGAGTCATTTGGTTGGTTTTGAGTGAAATCCAATGGCTAAAACTATGCAATACACCAACCATTTCAACGAACCTACGAACTGAATGTCCGATTTCGTGGACCAATCGATATCGGATTGAGCCCAAAACTTGGGGAACAACATAATGTTGTGGGAGGAGTCATTTTGTGGTTTTGGAGTGAAATCCAATGGCTAAAACTATGCAATACACAACCAATCCATTTCAAAACGAACTTTGCTACGAACCTGAATAGTCCGATTTGATGGACCAATCGATATCGGATTGAGTCCAAAACTTGGAGAACAACATAATGTTGTGGGAGGAGTCATTTGGTTGGTTTTGAGTGAAATCCAATGGCTAAAACTATGCAATACACCAACTACTCCATTTTGAACGAACTTTGCTACGAACCTGAATAGTCCGATTTCATGGACCAATCGATATCGGATTGAGTCCAAAACATGGGGAACAACATAATATGGTGGGAGGAGTCATTTGGTTGGTTTGGAGTGAAATCCAATGGCTAAAACTATGCAATACACCAACTACTCCATTTCAGAACGAACTTCTACGAACCTGAATAGTCCGATTTCATGGACCAATCGATATCGGATTGAGTCCAAAACTTGGGGAACAACATAATATGGTGGGAGGAGTCATTTGGTTGGTTTGGAGTGAAATCCAATGGCTAAAACTATGCAATACACCAACCACTCCATTTCAGAACGAACTTCCTACGAACCTGAATAGTCCGATTTCGTGGACCAATCGATATCGGATTGAGTCCAAAACTTGGGGAACAACATAATATGGTGGGAGGAGTCATTTGGTGGGTTTTTGAGTGAAATCAAATGGCTAAAACTATGCAATACACCAACCACTCCATTTTAGAACGAACTTCGTACGAACCTGAATGTCCGATTTCATGGACCAATCGATATCGGATTGAGTCCAAAACTTGGGGAACAACATAATATGGTGGGAGGAGTCATTTGGTGGGTTTTGGAGTGAAATCCAATGGCTAAAACTATGCAATACACCAACCACTCTATTTGGAACGAACTTGTACGAACCTGAATAGTCCGATTTCGTGGACCAATCGATATCGGATTGAGTCCAATACCTGGGGAACAACATAATATGGTGGGAGGAGTCATTTGGTTGGTTTTGGAGTGAAATCCAATGGCTAAAACTATGCAATACACCAACCACTCCATTTCAGAAACAAACTTCGTACGAACCTGAATTGTCCGATTTCAGGGACCAATCGATATCGGGTTGAGTCCAAAACTTGGGGAACAACATAATATGGTGGGAGGAGTCATTTGGTGGGTTTTGAGTGAAATCCAATGGGTAAAACTATGCAAATACACCAAACACTCCATTTAGAACGAACTTCGTACGAACCTGAATTGTCCGATTTCATGGACCAATCGATATCGGATTGAGTCCAAAATTTGGGGAACATCATAATGTTGTGGGAGGAGTCATTTGGGTGTTGTGAGTGAAATCAAATGGCTAAAACTATGCAATACCCCAACCATTTCATTTTAGAACGAACTTCGTACAAACTGAATATCCGTTTTCATGGACCAATCGATGTCAGATTGAGTCCAAAACTTGGGGAACATCAAAATATGGTTGGTGGCGTCATTTGGTGATATAAGCAAAATACTAGCAAGAAAGACATGTAAAATAAGGAATGTTTAACTCAATCAAAAAGCCATTCTAAAACTTGAGTTGCCAATTCTTCTCGCACCTCATCCAATTCCATTTAGGTGTACATGTCCTTCCGTCTAGCTATATATACTAGAAGAGAAAGAAAAAAATGTAGAATGTAAACACAAACAGTGTGTAACATGAACATAAGCTTAAAAAGTGTAAGTTACTAAATTTGCATAAAATATGTTGTCACTTCAAATTTACCAATATACAAATTTACCAAATCATATTGGTGAACAAGAAAATCTAATTTGTCAATCAATATAATTAGATAACTCGAAGTCATTAAATGGATCCCACTTCATGTTTCAACTAGCAATTAAATGATCATTTGATGGGGTAGAGAGCTAGACAAGCATAGCTAGCATTTCTTCTAATTAACACAAACCTAGCTACCAAAAAAAGTCACATAGCTCATTCTCTAAACAACTGGTAATTTGCAAATATAGGATTTTATACTACACAAAATCCAATCATTTGATCCCTTTGTTGGCCTTTTACCAAGTGAAACAAATAGCTGCCAACCAGAGGCGGAGCTACAGAGGCGCAAGGAGGTGCACACCTCCTCTTGCCGAAAAGAGCTATGGAGGTTGTGCAATTTGCCCTTCAGCTCTGCCATGGAAGTGCCCACAATCTACTTGAAGAAATGCCTCTGCAAAATTACCTTTTGTTTGCTGTGGTGTTGCGGCGTTGGGCTGTTGCGCGCAGCACCGCTGCATGCATTTTTTTAAAAAGTCCCTGGGCAAAACGACTCGTTTTGGACAAGGGCAATGAACAAAAATAGGGATAAAGCCTTATATTCTGCGGATAGAACCCACTGCCAAAGTACAATTAATATTATTAATAATTTAATATAAAGAGAGCCCTAAATTGAATTGAAGAAGCCAACAAACCCAAATCTCAAGGTCTCTGTTTTTTTTCCCCTTTTGGTCTTTTTTTCTTCTGGTTTTTTATTTCTATTTTTTTTATAATAATAATTTTTTTTGATGTGGCTCTCTCTGTATTTTTTAATTATAAAGTTATGAAACATTACTAGTAATCTTCAATAGAATATTGCCCCTTCTCTGAAAAATTCTTGGGTCCGCCACTGCCGCCAACCATTATCCATAGTTACTAAATTGAAACACAAGATTAATAGAACATATCAATTGTTTCACCGACTACATAACGTTCAAGATGTAGTTCTTGATTTACACTTTCACTTCCATTTGATTCAATAGGTTGCGCATGCCATATCCAATCCTTGTAGGTTTGGTCAACCCCTCCCAAATTTAAGAGGAAGATTCATTATTCATGCACTAAATTTAAAACAAAACGGAAGATAAAAAACGAGTGGCCACTACCCAATTTATTGGAAATTTGTATAACAAGCAAAACAGCAAAAGCATTACACGTTACCAGCAATTTTCTGATACAGCCTCTGAAACAGCAAGAGCGTAGATCCCAAGGACAAAGGCAAACATATATTTATATCCCTGCAAAATTTATTGGGTTGTAAAACAATCCACCAAAAGAAGAGGAAAGAACCCTTCCTTAAACTAGTTTAATACAAAATCTACACTATCTTTATATCAGAGAAGCAGAAGCACCAAACAAGAAGCGATTCAATTTCTTGTCAATGACCTAAACCGTAAACCAAAATTATCTTAGTAGAGCTCAGACTCTTACAAGTCGCAGTTAGTAAGCATTGGCACATGCTTAGTTAGTTAATCTCACACTCCGAGTATAAATTCTATGGCTACTTGTAATAATTTAGTAAGAGATTGAAACTAAATTGTTAAAATCTCAGCTATCATTTTCTCTGTTACTCTTTCTCTTTGTTAGCACAAACAAAAAAAATCATAGAAAGAAGAGGAAAGCAAAGAATAACTTAAAATTGATGATTAGAGAGCCTAATAGCCAAACCGAAAATTAAACCACATCAACTAGTCAAAAACTAATCTAAAATCCTTGTCTGTAAGTGCATCTAATATAAATCAAACTGAAGATTGAAACCTAAACTCAATTAAAAACTTATGAATGAGCAAATAGTCCAAAGTAATATGAAATATACTCACCTTATCTACATATGCTCTCCAAATAGAAATTGAAAAACCAAAAATCTGCAAAAATCACAGCCCAAGATTGAAACTTCAAACTCCAATATGAATCCCAAGGTTACCCCCCACAAATGTCTCAATGCCAAAATGGCTAAGCATCTACCTTCAAATGAGTAAAAGAATATTAATTGATAGAATGTGGAACTCCATTTTACAACCGGATAAATTCATGATTTAAGAAAATAGATTTATCCCAGCAATTTCAAGATACTTTATGTGGGAGCAAATATTTTCGTCTCCAATCACAGCGCGCCACGTGGAAAAGAAGATTATCTCTTTTAATTAATTAATTGAACCAGTTTACCTGGCCAATTAATTAATTGGGATAAATATCTTAATTAACATGATATTATCTTTATTTAATAAGATAATATCATTAATTAAGATATTATCCTATTAAAGAGAAGATAATGTCATTATCTCATATATTATCTTCATAAAAAGAGATAATATCGTTTAATTTAGATATTATCTCCATAAAAAGAGATAATATCATTAAATCAGATATTATCTCAGTCCGACTCGATCCCTACGAATTTGGGTAGAGAATAAACTCAGCATATTCTCTACGAAACCCTAGCCCCGAGGCTCCTATAAATAGATGACTTCATTCATCATTCAAGGTACATCTAAACCTACTCCTTATACCGGAGAAAAATATCCGGAGCTCTTTCTCCCTCTCCACTCTCCATATTTTCTCCACACGGCTCCGGCCACCACACACGGCTCCGGCCGCCCGGTTCACACCCTACATAAACACTACTCCGTACCCTTTGCTTAGCTATTGTTTTTCTACAAACACTCGAACTAACTTAGGCATCGGAGGGCCTTTGGCCAACACCCCCCGGGTGTGGTCTATTTACTCCAATCTGTTTTACAGGAATCGAGGAAGAGAGAGAAGGAAGATCGAAGGTTGAAGGATCTAGAAGCGAATATTCTCCCGTGAGATTATTTGCACAAACATTTGGTGCTTTCATTGAGAGCACGAGTTATACTCAACGCGTGCTCAAGGAATCCGTTCCTCATATTTTCCAATCCACCGAAGCCTTCCAAACAACCATGGTTGGAAGCAAGCGCACGAGGAGTAAAACCGCCGCGATGGCTCAATCCGTGACGGCCCAAAGCCACTCCACCCACGATCCCGCGATCAACATGGTGGCACCACCACCTCTCGCCACCGTGCCACCTACCGGACCCGCGACCGAATCTAGCAACCTCCGTGGCACCGCCGCCGAACATGGTGGAACCTCCCATCAAGGTGGGCTCGTTACCACCACCGACTTAGGCCCGGTCTTGGAGCAACTTCAAGCGTTCCCTCCATTGCCTCCACGCTCGACACACGCTCTCGCGTACACCTCCAGTGAAACCCTAGCCCGTGTGCAATTGGGCTCCACACGCTTCTCTCCTCCCGATCCACAAAGTCAAGCAGATCTCAACCTGAGAGTTGACCAGCTAGCTCAGAGAGTGGACGACCAAAACGCTCTTATGAGGCAGCTCCTTAATCAAATAAGCGTGGCTCAAAATCTTGGCCTTGGACAACCAGGCGAAGTGAGAAGAATAGACAAACACACCGGTGGGCAGCTCAACGGGCACCAAGCGGGTCGAGCAGGAGCGAGCAGACAAGGGGATGCACAACCACGTGATCAGCTTGCCGACATGTCGCGAGCATCTGCAAGCCACACACAAAGCAACGTGCGAGAAAGGCTTGGCCCACGACTTGACGTCCGTGCTCGCCTGGGCCCGCAGGGGAATGTACTTCAAAGGCTAGGCTCCCAGGGAGATCAAACTGACAATCGCCGCAATGAGGATCGTGAAGAGAGGCGCTCCGCTGCCCACTCGCAGAGAAATATTCACGAAAGGCTAGGGCCCCAGGGAGGTCAACCCGATAACCCTCGCAATGAGGATCGTGAAGAGAGGCACTCCATTGCCCGCTCTCGGAGAACCAACTCTCGCCGTCAAGCTGCAGAAAATCCCTCGCAATCACAGTCCACCAACACGCCTCCTAGGCATCGCGGACGAGAGGACCGACCCTTGCAGACCAACGAGGAGGTCAATCAGCGTCGCTCGAATCGCAAAAGGCGCCAACGTGATCGACCAGCACTGCGCGTGGAAGATGTTGAGAAGCTTGTGAATGACCGACTTCGAGACTTGAAGGCTAGCGGGAACCTCGAGGATGCACTACGTAAGGAGATGGACCAAGCGATCTCTACTCCTTTCACCCCTGAAATCGAGCAGGCTACTCCCCCGAAGCGATTCTCAACGCCTTCTTTTACGCATTTCAAGGGAGATTCCGATCCCGAGAGCCACCTAAAACACTTCAAAAGTGTCATGATCCTCCACAAGGCCGACGACGCACTGATGTGCAAGGCATTTGCAATGACATTGCGAGGAGCAGCTCAGGACTGGTTCCACACCCTGCCATCTGGGTCGATCAACAGTTTCAAGGAGCTTGCCTATGTCTTCACTAAAGAATACACTTCTTATCGGACGATCAAGAAGAACCCAGATCATCTGTTCAACCTGCGCAAGAAGCCCGACGAATCCATTCGAGATTACATCAAGAGGTTCAAAGCAGAAAAGGCCAACATCGTAGGGTGCGACGACCAAATCGCATCATCTGCCTTCAAGAAAGGTCTTCCAGCAGAACACGAGTTATACCGCGAGCTGACTATCACTCCCAGCCAGACTTTAGCAGAGGTCTTCGCGACCGCAGAACGCTACGCGCTCTGGGATGACGATCGAATTGCCGCGAAGAAGTCCACTGAGCAGGGAGATCAGCAGACCAAGCGGGCGGGCCTAAGAAGCGATGGATTTAGCAACAAGAACAAGGACAAGCGCAGGTCACACCCACAAGAGGACGCTAAGGCAGGAGAGAACTACACCAAGTTCACTATCCCTATACATCAAATCCTAGCCCAAGTGAAAAACAAACCTTGGGTAAGAAGACCGCCACCCTTGAAAGGAGATCCAGACAGGAGGGATACTAGCAAATACTGTGCCTTCCATGGGACGCATGGACACACTACGAACAACTGCTTCGCTTGGAAAGCACACCTCGAAGAACTCGTGAAGGAAGGTCACTGCACAGAATTCATCGCTAAGCAGGCCATCCAACAGATAGAGGACCGCGACACCACCAAGAAGCCGCCCCAAAAGGTCATAAGGATTAACACAATCCTAGCCGACTCCGAGGAATCTGGGTTGACCAGCAAGGAAAAAAAAAGGAAGATCAAACAAGCCACTATGATCTCCCAAGTCTCAACCGACATTCCGCTAGCAGAAGACGACCCTATAATCGGCTTCCAAAAGAAAGATCTAATTGGCCTTGATCTACCACACAATGACGCTCTTGTCATCAGCATTCAAATCGCTCAGGCCATGGTCGGCCGAATCCATGCAGACGAGGGCAGTGCGGCCAACATCCTACAATTGACAGTTATCCAACAGATGGGCTTAGAGGCAAAGATCAATAAATCAGCCAAGTCACTGACTGGTTTCAATGGAGCAACAACGGTTACCGTGGGCACGATAGAGCTCGACGTCTACGCCCCACCTGTAATCAGCTCTCAAACGTTCATGGTCATTGATGAAGTCTCACCCTACAATGGCATTCTAGGCAGACCATGGATCAGCAAGATCAATGCCATCACCTCCGCCACGCATCAGAAGATTCGCTACCCCAATTCCTTTGGGTGGGATCGGCCAAATCGACAGCGATCAGGCGATGGCGAGGAAATGCTCAGCTCAAGGGCTGAAGAAAGGCAAGCAAACACAGTTCCTCCCTGTGAATCAAGCAGATCTAAAGGGAGTAGAACAAGCAGATGAGGAAGCAGATCCCGTTCCTGACGGCCGAGCAGGCCAAAAAGGAAAGGGAATAACTACTCCCCAATAGCAATCAAAGAATCAGGACCAAGTTGAGGGAATCCGTCCGGAGGTCTATCCTGAAGAAGGATGGAAGCCCGAGGAGGACGTTGAGCTAGTACCCCTTGATCCTGACAAGCCAGAGAGAACAGCGCGGATCGGCTCGCGCCTAAGCCAGGAGGAAAAGGCAGAGCTTGTAGCCTTCCTCCAGAACAACAAAGACGTATTTGCATGGTCACCATCTGACATGCCTGGCATCGATCCCCAGATCATCTGCCATCGCCTACACGTCAACCCAGCCATCAAGCCTGTAGCGCAAAAGAGACGCAACTTCGCCCCCGAGCGAGTCGCCATCATTGAAGCCGAGATCGACAAGCTTCTAGTTGCCGGTTTCATTGAAGAAGTCTCATACGCAGAATGGCTGGCGAACGTTGTTCTAGTAGCAAAGAAAGATAAAGGCCTGTGGAGAGTGTGCGTCGACTATACTGACCTCAACAAGGCATGTCCTAAAGATAACTTTCCACTGCCGAGAATTGACCAGCTCGTCGATTCAACTTCCGGCAATCAACTGCTAAGCTTCATGGACGCCTACTCCGGTTACAACCAGATCATGATGCATGAAGACGACAAGGCAAAGACCTCTTTCATCATCGAAAGAGGTACCTACTGCTACAAGGTCATGCCCTTTGGGCTGAAGAACGCCGGAGCAACCTACCAAAGGCTGGTGAATAAAATTTTCAAGGAGCAAATTGGCAAGACTATGGAGGTCTACGTAGACGACATGCTAGTCAAAGCTCCCGAGCGAGCAGACCACATCGAGAATCTTGCCGAGGCATTCAGCATACTCCGAAAATACAACATGAAGTTGAACCCGAGCAAATGCACATTTGGAGTCTCGTCCGGCCGATTCCTTGGATACTTAGTCACCCAAAGAGGAATTGAGGCACATCCAAATCAAATCAAGGCTATACTCAACATGAAGTCACCTGCCACAACAAAGGAGATACAAAGTCTAACGGGTAGGGCGGCAGCTCTCAACCGATTCCTCTCTAGATCTACCGACAAATGCAGGCCATTTTTCAAAGCCTTGAAGAAGGGACACAAGGATAAGTGGGATGACGAGTGTGAAGTAGCTTTTCAAAACTTGAAAACTTACCTCACTTCACCTCCATTGCTCTCAAAGCCGATACCAGGCGAAGACTTGTACATCTACCTAGCGGTGTCCGACTCAGCTGTCAGCTCAGCTCTCATCCGAGAAGAGCTGGGGGCACAACATCCGGTATTCTACACTTCAAAAGCTCTCCTCGATGCAGAGACTCGCTATCCGAAAATGGAGAAGCTCATTTTTTCGCTTGTGGTTTCTGCGAGAAAGTTAAGGCCATACTATCAAGCACACCGGATAATTGTCATAACAGAATTTCCTTTGAGATCGATCCTTCACAGCCCCGACGCTTCTCAGCGACTCATGAAATGGGCTATCGAACTCAGTCAATACGACCTCCTCTACCGGCCGAAGACTGCTATAAAAGCCCAAGCTTTAGCAGATTTTGTTGTAGAGTTTACTCCGACAGCCGAAGAAGAGAAGATGGTTACGAAAAGCAAGGAAAAAGCGGACGACACCCCCCCCCCACCGATTCGAACCTACCTAACAACATGTGGCAGTTGCATGTAGACGGAGCATCAAATCACAAAGGAGCGGGAGCAGGAGTCGTCATAATCACCCCAGACGGAACCTTGTTGGAACAAGCTATCACACTAGGCTTTTCTGCTTCAAACAACGAGGCAGAATATGAGGCACTGCTTGCAGGACTACGCCTAGCGAAAGAACTGTCGATCAAGAGACTGGCCATCTACTTAGACTCCCAACTAATCACGAATCAAGCCTCAGGCGAGTACATGGCAAAGCATCCAAGAATGGTCCAGTACCTCGACAAAGTCCAAGGACTTTTGAAAGAATTCCCTACTTTCACCATCCAACAAATTCCACGGGCAGAGAACACTCATGCAGATGCGTTGGCGAGCCTAGGATCAGCACTGGACACCCAATTCAGACGCTCCATCCCAGTTGAACACCTTAACCGGCCAAGCATCGAAGAAATAGAGCCGATCGACTCAATGCAGATTGATGAGGACCCCAGCTGGCAAGACCCTATCATCGACTACTTGGTGAATGGAAACCTGCCAACGGATAAGTCCGAAGCTAGGAAGGTCCAGCAGAAGGCCGCGAGATACTATATGCACGGCAGCAAGCTCATCCGTAGATCATACTCCAGCCCTCATCTCACCTGCATAAAGTACCCTCAAACACTTGAAGTCCTCTGCAAAATTCACTCGCCCAGAAAACTCTGAACGTAGGCTATTTCTGGCCTACCATGCGCCACGACTCTGCTGAATATGTCAAAAGATGTGATCGTTGCCAACGATACAAGCCGATCCCTAATCTGCCTGCCGAAGTTTACCATCCGCAAAACAGTCCATTCATGCAATGGGCCATCGACTTAGTGGGTCCCTTGCCACCGGCGCCTGCCAAGAAAGAAATGATGATCGTCGCCACCGACTACTTTACTAAATGGATCGAGGCCGAAGCTCTATCCTCTACTAAAGAAGCCGATGTGGAGTGATTCATCTGGAGAAATATCATCTGCCCACAAAACACAACAGTTGTCCATAAGCAGCGTCCTTCGGGAGACGCAGGGCAACGACCAGAAGTGTCCTTTGGGAGACGCAGCCCATAAAAAGCGTCCTAAGGGAGACGCAGGGTGCGCCAGGAATTTCCTAAGGGAGGTATCCAGGTTCCTATCCGTTCCCTAAGGGGGGCAGGATAGTCATATAGTTGCCCATAAGGAGCGTCCTAAGGGAGACGCAGGGCGACGACTAAAAGCGTCCGTTTGGAGACGCAGCCCACTAAAAAAGCGTCCTAAGGGAGACGCAGGGTGCGCCAGGAATTTCTTAAAAGGAGGTCTCCATGCCTCCTGCGGGAAGTATCCAGGTTCCTATCCGTTTCCTAAGGGAGGCAGGATAGTCATACAGTTGCCCATAAAGAGCGTCCTAAGGGAGACGCAGGGCGACGACTAAAAGCGTCCGTTTGGAGACGCAGCCCACTAAAAAGCGTCCTAAGGGAGACGCAGGGTGCGCCAGGAATTTCTTAAAAAGAGGTCTCCATGCCTCTTGCGGGAAGTATCCAGGTTCCTATCCGTTTCCTAAGGGAGGCAGGATAGTCACACAGTTGCCCATAAGCAGCGTCCTTCGGGAAACGCAGGGCGACGACCAAGCCAACCTAAGAGATATGCAGAACACGTCCGAAGTCCTTCAAGAGGAACCCTGACACTCATGAATCTCCAAAAGGAGATGTGCAATCAAGACACTAGCCGGTTACTCAAGCAGTTCACAAGACAATATGCAAATTGAAGTTGAAAAATAAAGACTGAAATTTTCATAGCAAAGCGACCAACCGGCCAAGTTCAAACAAAAAGAAGATGGTCAAACAAGACCAATTATTCTAAACAAAAGCAGACTACAAAAGCTGAAAAGAAATAAAGGAGTCTTCGTCTACTCCGAAGCGCCAGCAGGAGATCCCTGATCTACAACCTCTTCAGCGTCCGCCTGAACAGCCACGCTTTCAGCAGCTCCACATGCCTGATCTATGACGTCTGCCACCACCTCATCGGCTGCATCCTCCTCTGCTCCATCCTCCTCAGCTACCGCCTCTTTAGTCACCTGCTCTTCAGCTCCTTCGATGTTCACAGCATTAGCCTTCTCACTTTGCGCAGGGGGCAAGTCTGGATAGAGCATCTCGATGTCTTCATCTCCAATGGCGTAGAAGGGATCATATCCTCTTGTGCAGTCCAGGTAGCCCAACTTGTACGCGTCCATGGCAACTTCGGACTTGGATTCCTCAGCAGACTCATGGTAGGCGTGAAGTCTAGCTAAAAGCTTGTCATAGCTATGAGAGATGTCGGCATTCTTGCACTCAATGTGGAAATAAGCATCTTTTCGACTTGCCAAGTCAGCAGCAGAAGAGTTAAGCTCGGAATCCTTCTCAGCAAGGGAGCTCTTCAACTCAGATATCATCGCCCGCAAATCAGACGTCTTCTTCTCATAACGGGTCTGCTCGGCGGAAAGTTTGCTAACTAACTCGGCATTCTTCTTCTCCAACTCGCTGAGCTGAACAGAAGATGGGGCAACAACAGACGAGTTCCGAATGGTCTCAGCAGCAAAAACTATTCCCTTTTTAAGCAGATGAAGTGTCGCTTCCTTTTGCTTTTCCAAGGAAAGACTTGAAAAAGTACCAAGATCGCCAGCCTGACGGATTTGGTCAACCAGCTCAGCACAAGAGGATGGACTTGATAGAAATTGCGTCTTTAGCAGATCAGACACGCCTGCATCCCCTGCAGGGCTAGATTTGTCCACCTTTGGATCAGTCGCTGACGTTACAGAAGAACCTTTTGTCCAGGCAGATGACTCTCTTGCTTTCCTAGCCTCCGCCAACCTCACTTCCAAAGGAATTTGCGACGTCGAATCAACTCCATGCTTGACTGCTCATGACTCAACAGTTGAAACATGATGGTTGGATGGATGAGCAGACTGCCCAGATCGACTTCCAATCTTTGACTGGTACAAACGACTTGAATTTCGAAAAGGAGCATCCGCATCTCTTTGCCTCTCAACAAGTGAGCTAGATCGTGCACGGACTACTTTACTGAGCATATCACGATCTCCAAACTCATCAGGCTTGAGCTCTTGAAGACTTGACATCAGCCTTCCTTTTTTAGGGGAGTTTAGCAAAACACTCCTCATGTCCAGCAAGCAGATCATCAAGGCTCGGACCATCCTGCTTCCATCTATCGACATCCTTAGCAGGGGGCAGTCCACCAACTTCCTCCTAATCGTTGCTCAGCAGCCGCCAGCAGCCACCGCCGCTCCAATCGTCTTTGGCTGCCAGTAACGATGACAACCAACCTGGTCCCACCCAACTGGTCCTCGCCTTGAAAAAGAGAAGACGAAGGAAAATTTACGTGCTCGACTTACTTTGGGATGCACGGCAACTCCTCTCTTCGACAAGCAGTACAAAATTCTCCAAGATCTTTCTCAAGCTAGAAAGTAGAGAAGTTAAGTTTGCGATGTAAGAAAGAGTGAAGAGAAGCCCTGTATTTATACAAGTTGGACAACCCGGGTCAAGAAGGAATCTCAAGCTCTTTCCTACTGGGAATCCAACTCCAACAACAGTCAGAAGCCTACACCAATTGAGAATCCGATCTGCAAAAGGAGTCCAACTCACAGAAGAAAGCCCAGACTCAGTTGGAGAGCCCGAAAAAATAATTTCATCTCCTACATGCCACACAAGCGCCATGCAGAAGCTGGGGGGCATTTGTGGGAGCAAATATTTTCGTCTCCAATCACAGCGCGCCACGTGGAAAAGAAGATTATCTCTTTTAATTAATTAATTGAACCAGTTTATCTGGCCAATTAATTAATTGGGATAAATATCTTAATTAACATGATATTATCTTTATTTAATAAGATAATATCATTAATTAAGATATTATCCTATTAAAGAGAAGATAATGTCATTATCTCATATATTATCTTCATAAAAAGAGATAATATCATTTAATTTAGATATTATCTCCATAAAAAGAGATAATATCATTAAATCAGATATTATCTCAGTCCGACTCGATCCCTACGAATTTGGGTAGAGAATAAACTCAGCATATTCTCTACGAAACCCTAGCCCCGAGGCTCCTATAAATAGATGACTTCATTCATCATTCAAGGTACATCTAAACCTACTCCTTATACCGGAGAAAAATATCCGGAGCTCTTTCTCCCTCTCCACTCTCCATATTTTCTCCACACGGCTCCGGCCACCACACACGGCTCCGGCCGCCCGGTTCACACCCTACATAAACACTACTCCGTACCCTTTGCTTAGCTATTGTTTTTCTACAAACACTCGAACTAACTTAGGCATCGGAGGGCCTTTGGCCAACACCCCCCGGGTGTGGTCTATTTACTCCAATCTGTTTTACAGGAATCGAGGAAGAGAGAGAAGGAAGATCGAAGGTTGAAGGATCTAGAAGCGAATATTCTCCCGTGAGATTATTTGCACAAACACTTTACATGGATACGCAGCTTCTATAGGCAACAGACAAGGAAATTATGTCAATTGAAAGCAATACAAGTTGGAAGCAATTCTAAAGACAGCTTTATCTTAAATTTTATAAATTATACATGCATTTTTTTCAGGTTTAATTATTCATCCATTTTTTGGAATTTGGGTATTGGGGGAACATATTTTGGTTGATAAGTAGTGAATTTCACAAAACGTCAGCACTTCATTTTTCTCATTGGTCATTTTTCATTTAGGCTTCGATTAAGGAATTCATTCGAACAGGAATTTGGTTCAGATTATGTTGCCATCAGCAACAATATGAGACATTTACATTACCATGAATAAGCATTAAAAACAGTTGTGTAACCTGTCCAGCAAAAGTGACAACAGTTGATTTTCCATTAGTCCCTGTCACTGCTAAAAGCTTGACACTTTTTGGGAGAATTTCGGCAGCAAAATCCAACTCAGACATCACCTGCTTTCCCTGCATTTTGACAAGGAAAAAAAAACACCAAAATGTTCACAAACCAAAAAAAAAACATCACAAAATCTCAAGAATAGTAGTTAGAAAAGAAGAATTTTCCACAAGGATCACAACTAAATAAGGCTGCTTATATCTCTAAGAATCATTTCCAATGCCTTTGCAATAATTCATGAAAATGGATTACAACACCAATACACAACCAATACAAGTATGACAAACGAATGTACTAGCAATGAACATATAACTTATAAACACTACTACTCACCAACTGCAATAAAGAGGAAAGACCATAGTTTGTAGGGGAACTCCAGGGGACACGATTAAATCAGAACTTGTGTGATATAATTAAAGTAGTATATAAAATTATGCAGTATATAGAATTAAAGTAGTAATAGAGAACATGACTAATATCCATGTGACCATAGACCACAAGACAGAACACACAAACAAGCAAGGAGCTGGGATTAAATCAGTGGTATAAAATTATGCAGCTTACGATGACACAAATTCTAAGCTCACAACAATTAAGCACATATGTGAAATATCAGAAAATCGAACTTTAAATGAATTCTTATCACAACCAATGAAAACAAAGTTAGAAAGTTGTTTATACCAAAATGAACAGCCAATGAATATCAAACACGTGGCTAAACCAGGGCCAGGTGTGCCTTCGGCACCCCTCTTCGGTAACAAACCTACCGATCGCAACATTAGGGCAACCTCGCCCCCTCTGACGCGTGGCAGCCTCACAACTGACGCCCAGAGTCCCACATCGAAACTCTAAACAAATTGCACACCTCCCAAGGCCTATAAAAGAGGACATCCCAGCTTGAAGGTAATCAATCAGAACTTACGGCATACTGCCTATTGATCTGCAGTTCAAACTTATTAAACCCGTACTTACTTAAGCATCGGAGAGCCTTCGGCCGGTACCACACCGGTGCCCTAGGACTTACCGTGTGTTTGCTATCTTACAGATCGCACACCCTACCGAGGACATCAGATACCGAAGAGACTTAATCACTAAGTTGCGCGGGAAAGTGCCGAACCATTTTTCTGCGTCAACAGTTTGGCGCCGTCTGTGGGAAACGATAAAATCAACCTACAATTCCTAAACAAAACAAATGGGAACCACTTCAGGACCACAATTCCTATCAGAGGATGGATTACCGTACGGTATGCCAAGTGGAGCAAGCCCCGCGCTGCACCCTAGCACCCCCTTCGGTAATCCTCCTGCGCTTCAGACCACGGTCGAAGCGGAGCTTCTGGCTCAAATGACCTCCCTTCGAAGGGAGATGGCTAAACTCCAAGAACGTAATAATCTCCTTTCGTCCAAAGTAGACGAAACCCAATGGTTGCTTAATCAGCAGGAAACACAAAACGTTCAGACCACCGAATCTTCTCAAAGTCAGCAGACCCCCGGTCGGCAGAGGAAGGGAAAGCAGGGGGCAAAGGCAACGCCTGCGCCCTCCAAACAGCTGGTGGTCCCGGCACCCCAGGACCAACCTCACGTACCGAAGAAGGTGTACACCGATTGTCGTCATCGAATCAACGACAAGAAGGACGCCGAACGGCAAAGGTCCCCAACCAGAGTAAACGCCCGCTTGAGGGACTCCCGGATGAGAGTCCTGGGGGATAAATCGCCCCTTCGGAGGGCTCAGGGTTTGGATTCGGCGCTGGAGTCTGATGATGAGTACATCCCCACTAGGGGCACCGAATCAAGCTACCGTTCGGAAGCTCCCCCGGAGTACTCGAAGGCGAGATCACCAAGTCCAAGGAGAACTTCCGAAGACTTCGGTTCCGAGGGTGTCCCAAGCCGAGACCCCGCCATCCGACTACTTTTCCAAAGAATCCAGAAGATGGAGGAGGACCGAACCCGGTCCCAAGTCTCTGACTGGGGAAAACTTCGGCCGGGACCATTTACCGAGCGCATCAAGAAGTCCAGACCGGACAGGGAGGTGCAGCCGTTGCGCATACCCTTCTATACCGGTGTGGAGGACCCTTTGACGCACCTTCACTCCTTCCAATCGGCAGTTGGGTGTAAGGGCCTCGGCGACGAGGGGCAATGTCTGCTGTTTCTGTCATCCCTTACCGGAGCTGCCCTGAACTGGTTCTACCGTCTCGAACTTGGGACGGTAGACTCCTTTGACGAGCTGAAGCAAATTTTCCTCAACCACTTCATGATCCAGACGGACCGTTTGTACTCTGCTGACGATCTGTACACGATTCGGTAGAGGGAGGACGAACCCTTACGGGAATACGCAGCGCGCTTCAGTCACGAGTACTCGAGGTGTCCCGAAACGGACGATAGGGCAGCCTACGGCGCCTTCAAGAGTGGCCTACGGTCCTCTCACTTCCGGTACCTTGTGCACAGTAGCAACTGGCGCACGTATGACGAGTTAATGAAGCAAGCGGCAGTCCATGCAAAAGCCGAATACTTCAACTCCAAACCCGGGCCTTCGGCTCGGAAGGAGGAATCGACCACCAAAAGTTATCCAAGCCGAGCCGATGACTCGTCGGCAGGACACAAACGGAAGGACGACCATGACAGCCGTCAGGGACACTCAAAGAAAGGTCGTGGGAAGTACGGTCGTAACGACCACCGGGCGCCCCTACCGAATCACGATCGTGCTCAGGAAGTCTTCACCCTGCTGAACACAACCTATGAGACCGTTCTAATGAACGAACACGACCAGATCCCAAAGCCAACCAACCGAAAGCCCGGTCGGCAGGATAATCGGGACACTGGCAAATTCTGCCGATATCACCAGCAGAACAGCCACAATACCGAAGACTGCATCAGTCTGAGGAAAATTGTCGAGCGTCTGATTCGGGAAGGAAAGTTGGATCAGTACCTTGCCAGGCCACCACAGGCCCCAGCACCGAACGCGAATCGGCAGATCAACATGATCAACACGATCAGCGGCAGCCCCACTCTGGCGGGAACCTCTAACCATTCGATGAAGCAGTATGTGCGTACCGCCCACTGCCCTCAGGTCTTCGGCATAGAGGAGGATCGGTGCCGAAAGCTGCCGAAGGTGGGATGGGAGCCCATCACATTTTGTGAAGAAGAGGAGGAGGGGATCATCTACCCCCACGACGACCCAATGATCATTCGGGCCGGGATCGCCGACTACGATGTTGGTCGGGTGCTGATTGACTCCGGAAGCTCGGTGAACGTGATCTTTGCCGATGCGTTCAAGGGACTGGGGATTGCCGACAGCATGGTCAATCGGCAAATCACGCCTCTCCTCAGTTTTTCTGGAGATCTGGTCCAACCGGTCGGTAGCATCAGTCTGCGCATTGCCTTCGGCGTCGCCCCCCAGGAAAACCATGACCTACGATCAATTCCTCATTGTTGACTGCCCAACAGCATACAACGTCATCATAGGGCGAACAACACTCACTAGGGTCAAAGCCCACTTATCTCCACACATGTTGCTGATGAAGTTCCCGACACGCAACGGTACCGGAGTCATCCGGGGCGATCAGCTCAGCGCACGGACGTGCTATGCCACGGCCCTTAAGTCGGTAGCCAGCAAACCGCCAATGGAAGCCATGACCGTGCAGGGACTACCGAACAGTAGCGAACTTATTGACGACCCCAGGGAGGAAAACCCAACGCCGATGGCACAGCCCGCCGAGGAGCTCGAGACCATAATCCTAAACGAGGAATTCCCTGATTGGTGGGTGAAGATCGGCACCAATCTGGATCCCGATCTTCGAAGATAGTTCATCGATTTCTTACGGCAGCATGCGGAAGTCTTCGCCTGGTCTTATGACGATATGCCCGGCATATCACCTGATGTCATCAGCCACAAGCTCAGCATCTCCACCGCCCACAAACCGCCCACAAGCTCGTACGATGCCGAACGGTACGAGGCAATGCGTGCCGAAGTTGACAAGCTCAAAGCCATCGGCTTTATCAGGGAAGCTACGTACCTTGTTTGGCTTGCCAACTCAGTCATGGTTCGGAAGGCCAGGGGAGGATGGCGGATGTGTCAGGACTATTCCGACCTGAATAAGGCTTGTCCGAAGGACAGTTTCCCCTTACCGAGGATCGACCAGCTCGTCGATGCTGCCGCCGGGCACGAACTGCTCAGCTTCATGGACGCGTATTCAGGATACAACCAGATCTTCATGGACCCTGCCGATAGAGAACATACGGCATTCATCACGGATCGCGGTTTGTACTGTTACAATGTCATGCCCTTCGGCCTGAAGAACGCGGGGGCAACTTACCAACGGCTCGTCAACCGGATTTTTGCTAAATACATCGGCGGCATCATGGAGGTGTATGTCGACGACATGTTGGTAAAAAGCCAAACGGCAGGGGATCACCTGGAAAACTTGGCCCTCATGTTCGGTATTCTAAAGGACTACCAAATGAGGCTGAACCCGACGAAGTGCGCCTTCGGTGTATCTTCCGAAAAATTTCTCGGGTTCATGATCAGTCAAAGGGGAATCGAGGCCAATCCCGAGAAAATCAAAGCCATAATCGACATGGAGACGCTGAAGACGCAAAAGGACATTCAGAGCCTTACCGGACGTGTCGCTGCCTTGACACGTTTCATCTCCAAGGCTACCGATAAATGCGTGCCATTCTTCAAAGCTTTGAAAGGGGGCAAACATCATATAACATGGACTCCCGAATGCGACCAGGCATTTCAAAACTTGAAGAACTACATGAGCCAGGCACCACTGTTATCAAAACCGCTCCCAGGGGAGGTACTACTCCTATACCTTTCGGTATCCAATACTGCCGTTAGCTCAGTGTTGATAAGGAAGCTGGAGAAGGCGGAGCTACCGATCTTTTATGTCAGCAAGGCGCTCCAGAGCGCAGAGCTTTGCTACCCACCCTTGGAGCAGCTAGCACTGGCCCTGGTCGTCTCGGCGCGAAGACTTCGCCCTTACTTCCAGGCTCACGAGATCACAGTTCTGACGAACCAGCCTCTTCGGCAGGTGCTCCAGAAGCCGGAAACATCTGGTCGATTGGTCAAATGGGCAATCGAGTTGGGGGAGTTTGACATACAGTTCAAACCAAGGCCTGCAGAAAAAGGCCAAGCCGTTGCCGACTTCATCTCCGAGCTCACACCTCCCGCTCTATCGGAACCATCATCGCCGAGCGCCATCCCTCTTGCACCAGAGAAAGTGGATACTGAACGCTTCAACACCTCCGTTCCTCTCTGGATCCTGCATGTGGATGGCTCGGCAAACCAGCAAGGCTGTGGCACCGGGTTGGTGTTAACCACTCCTGACGGTAACAAAATCGAGTACGCCCTCCGATTCAACTTCCGGACCTCCAATAATGAGGCGGAATATGAGGCCCTCCTGGCTGGCCTTCGGCTAGCCCAGAGCATGAGCGCGAGGCAGATCAGCATTCACAGCGACTCCTAGCTCATAGTAAATCAGATAACGGCAGACTTCGCAGCAAAGGATGCCTCCATGTCAGCCTACCTATCGGCAGCTCACCAACTACTACAAAAATTCCAGGCCTACGAGATACGGCAAATCCCCAAGTCGGAAAATAGCCATGCCGACGCGCTCTCACGATTGGCCTCGGCCATAAATGACAAGATCGGAAGGAAGGTATCGGTGGAGATATTATCCCAACCGAGTACAACCGCCGCTGAGGTATGTACTGTTCGGTACGAAGACACATGGATGTCTCCAATCTATGCCTACCTGACAGCCGGAACCCTTCCTACCGATAAGTCCCAAGCTCGGAAACTTCGCTACCGATCGGCAAGATACACAGTCGTCAACGATGTTCTGTACAAACGGGGCTACACGACGCCGTATTTAAAATGCCTGACCAAGGAGCAAGGGGACTACATCCTTCGGGATGTCCACAGCGGGATCTGCAGTGACCATTCTGGATCCCGATCGCTAGCACACAAGGTCTTCCAGCAGGGTTATTTCTGGCCGACCCTGCACCAGGATGCGAACACACTAGTCAAGAGGTGTGACAAATGCCAGCGGTTCGGTAGTGTCCCTCATATTCCTGCCGAGCCGCTGTCACCGATCGTGAGCCCGTGGCCGTTCGCGCAGTGGGGACTAGATCTAATTGGTCCGATGCCAGAGGGCAAGGGTCAGGTCAAATACGTCGTTGTTGCCGTAGACTACTTTACCAAATGGGTAGAACCCAAAGCCCTAGCGACAATAACGGCGGCCAGAGTCGAAGATTTCATTTGGAGGAATATTTGCTGCCGATTCGGCATCCCCTACGCCATCGTCACGGATAACGGCAGGCAGTTTGATTCGGAAGTCTTTCGGGAATTCTGCACCCGACTCAAGATCAACCTGTTCTTTGCTTCGCCAGCACACCCCCAATCGAACGGACAGGTCGAAGCCATGAACAAAATTGTCAAGAAGCTGTTGAAACGGCAGCTTGACAAAGCCAAATGAGCCTGGCCGGAAAAGCTTCCAAAGGCGCTATGGGCCATCCGGATATCCTACCGAACGGCAACTGGGGAAACACCATTCTCTATGGCTTTCGGTTCAGAGGCGGTAGTCCCAGTGGAAATCGGAGAGCCTTCCTACCGAACGGAAACCTTCGCACCGAAGGCGAATGAGGAAGCGCTTGCTTTGAGCCTCGACCTGCTCGAAGAACGCCGAGCACAAGCCAACCTTCGGAACGAAGCTTACAAGCAATGCGTCTCTCGGTACTATGACTCCAGGGTCAGATCCCGTTCTTTCCGAATCGGAGATTGGGTCATGCGGAAAGTCTCTTTGGCAACCAAGAATCCCACGGAAGGAACCCTCGGACCTTCCTGGGAGGGACCCTACGAAATCATCGGTATCCAGCGATCGGGGACTTATCGACTCAGAGACTCCAACGGAAAGACCCTCGGTCATCCTTGGAATGTAGAGCGTTTGAAGTATTATTTCAAATGAAGTCACCTGACCTATGGCAGGGTCACGGAGGGGTCCCAAAAGCCTCCGGCATCTCTACAGGCACAGCCTTCGGCATAATAGCGTTTCCTAGCCAACGGCAGGTTCTAAATTGTAAAACGCACTCCAAATTGTACTTTTGCCTTCGGCAGTTTAACAATGAAAGGGCCTTCGGCTCATATATTCAGAACCTTTGTTGTACCTTTCAATCTCTCCATTTTTATTCACAAAAAAAAAGATACGGTAGGGACCATCGGTCGCTGTAAACTACACATTTTGGCATCGCCATTATCCTACCGATTAAGGGACAACTTCATAGACTTTATTGACCTATATAGGCTTTCGGTAATTACGGGCCGTTGCTTTGCCATCGGCAAGCACGCCTAATGGTTTCAATTCCCTAACACTTGGAACTTTTGCTTGAAAAGAAACTTTACTGGCCAACGGCCAATGACCTTTGTTTAAAGAGCCTTCGGCATTAAACAAGAAAAATTTCCTAAGTACGTTACCGATTCAGAAGTAAGATGCAATTAACTTAATGTGAAAACGCAACTTTAATAAAAACATGCCCATGGCATCAATTATCCAAACAAAAGGTGCCAACGGCATCAGAGTTGCAACGAAATTACAAAAATGCCTACGGCATAAAAATTAAATTAAAAATACATAAAAAATGCCCTCGGCATTAAGTTTAGAAGGTTAAAAGGTGGAAACAAAAAGCAGCTTTTGACAAGGCCTTCCATCAGGCGGCAGCCTCATCGGCATCAGGGGCAGCACCATCGGCTTCGGCAGCACCCCCTTCGGGATCAGCTGGGACCTCCTCTGTCATGTCCTCCCCCTCGTACTCCTCGACCATTTCTTTGGTTATGCCTTCAGGAAGGGGGGGGGGATCGGCAATGAAGTTGAGGTTGAGCTTCTTCCCGGGGTTGTACCGCTTGAAACGGTAGAGTAGGTCCGCCATTTCCGAGCCTACCTCCTTGTCCAGCAAGGTAGAAAACTCGGTAGACCGACGGTAGCCCTGAACCGCCTCCTGAACGGCAGCCTCGATCTCGGAAGCCCTGGCCCGCTCGGACTCCTCGAAGGCCACCTGGACCGCCTCCTTCGACTCCAGAGCCTCCTTCGGCATCAGAGTTGCAACGAAATTACAAAAATGCCTACGGCATAAAAATTAAATTAAAAATACATAAAAAATGCCCTCGGCATTAAGTTTAGAAGGTTAAAAGGTGGAAACAAAAAGCAGCTTTTGACAAGGCCTTCCATCAGGCGGCAGCCTCATCGGCATCAGGGGCAGCACCATCGGCTTCGGCAGCACCCCCTTCGGGATCAGCTGGGACCTCCTCTGTCATGTCCTCCCCCTCGTACTCCTCGACCATTTCTTTGGTTATGCCTTCAGGGGGGGGGGGGGGGGGGGGGGGGGGGATGGCAAGTTGAGGTTGAGCTTCTTCCCGGGGTTGTACCGCTTGAAACGGTAGAGTAGGTCCGCCATTTCCGAGCCTACCTCCTTGTCCAGCAAGGTAGAAAACTCGGTAGACCGACGGTAGCCCTGAACCGCCTCCTGAACGGCAGCCTCGATCTCGGAAGCCCTGGCCCGCTCGGACTCCTCGAAGGCCACCTGGACCGCCTCCTTCGACTCCAGAGCCTCCTTCGCCGTCAGCTGCGCCGCCTCCAAAGCTGCCGACATCTCGCCAAGCTTGGCCTGATAAACCTTTACCTGTCGTTCGGCAGCCTGCATGTCCTTGGCCAAGTTTGCCTGGGCTTGGATGGCCTTGCCAGCTTCGGCAACCTTCGCTCTGCCGTCTTCGTATGCCTTCTTCGCCTTCTCAGCGGCATTAATGGCTCGCTTAACGCAGAGCCACATGTCCATTGATGCCTGCACAGCAAACGAAAACGTTAGATGGAAAGAGAAATGAACGGCAGGGAAACGCTAAAAACAGTAGGCACTTACCGAGGCTTGGAGACGGAAGGCGCGACCAGCCTCCTCCCAAAGTAGCTTCTTCGGCAGGTCCTCGATCTCGGACAACTCCATTTGTGAACCGAGGATCATATGGTTCACAAACTGTACCGTCTTCGAAGGAAAGGCCAGAGTAACAGCTTCGGAAGGCGCCTCGTCGTCCTCGGCAGAGAAGATGGCCCGAGCAGGCTCAGTTTGTCGCCCGCGTTTTGGAGCGGGGTCGGCATCAAGGTCCACCGTGAACGTCCTCTTGCCTGCAGCTTTGGAGGAGGTACCCTCGGTAGGCGGAACTCGGCTGGGGGACGGACCAGCTTCGGCACGCGCCGACTCGGCATGCATCTAGCGACGGCGCTCGTTGAGTGTCAGATCATCAGGGTCCACACCTCCCGAAGGCGCCGGTGCCGTTCCGGCCTGCCGCCCCTTCTTCTTCCCCTGCATGCCGAGAATGAGGCGTCTCTTCGAGGACTCGTTCATCCTCTTTACCTCGGCAGCCTTCCTCTCTTCGGTCACTGCAAGAAGGAGTCGGTCAGATTCGTCGATATACATTTTGAACTGACAAAATGGAGAAGTATACTTACTCTCGGCAGGGTTGACAAGCTGGGCCTTGATGAGATTGGCGGTGAAGAGAAACTTCGAGTACACCCTCTCAACGGTAGGAATCTTCAGCCTAACCCTTTCAATCTGCCGGATCTCCGCCTGTGTGGCGCTCGGCTGCTTCAACTTGCCTGCACAAAACCAAACGGAATCAGCATTAAAAGAAGGAAAACAAGACCTGCAAGCCCTACCGAACGGTAAGATAGCCTACCGGCGATTTGGAACGTAGTTGGAATGTGGAAACGGACGGGATGTCCCGAGGGCGACTCCCAGTCACCGGACAAAAGCACCCTCCGTTTCCTCCACGTCTTCTGTGAGGTCGGGACGGCATTGACGAAGTGACCGCGCTCGGTAGCCTTCAGGCAATTGGCCTGGACCCAGCCCCCGTGATCGGCACACTTCGACTTCGTGACACTGTACAGGTGGGAGAACTACTCGTACGAAGGTTCTCCCTCCCCAGCCATGCCGAAGGCTGTGACTACCCCCATCAGCGCCACCCAGAAGTTGGGATTGAACTGGCTGGGAGCGTAGCCTATCTGCGCCAGGATCCTCTGAACGGCGGGCTGCAGAGGGAGCCTCACCCCTTGCAGAAGCACGTCCGTGAAAAAGACGACTTCGCAGTCCTTCGGACTGCTTAGAGATTCGGTAGGATTTGGATCCTCATACCTACTGAATCAGGAATGAAGTACTCCGCCCGAAATTTCGCAATCTCCCTTTCGGTGATTCTGTTGGGCTCCAGATAATCCACACCGAAGACGAGCTCCTTCGGAACCCCCATCGGCACCCTAGGATTGCCGGGGTAGACTACGGATACCCTCCGCCGGTTGGATGGTTCGGCAGCTGGCTCACCACGGCCGGAAGTGGAGGCCTCTGGCTGGTGACTACCGCTCGCCTCCCCAGGGGCGCCAAGCCCCACGTGGCGACCGTCGCTATATACGATAGACAACGGTACCGGAGCGGTCATAAGCTCCTTTCCGATGCCATGTATGGGGACTGGGCTGGGCCTTTCGCCGAGTATCTCGACATCGGTATCACTCCCCTCCTCGGCATCAGGCCCTGCCTTTTCAACGTCGGAGTCAAAGAGACCGTCCGATGACTCCTCGTCGAACGCATTAGGCTCGCGCTCGGAGAATGACTCGCTATCAGACATCTACAAAAACAGGAAAAAGGGAAACTAAGGCTCATGCCGGATGCTATCCTACCGATCCCTACATCACCACCTATGGCGACTAGACTACCGAATGGAACCCTATGGCCAGTCTAGTTCAAACCAAGGAAGGACGTAAACTCTTAAGGTATGTAAAGAGGGAAAAGTAGGGCTACCGAACGGTACCTTTGTTTAGCTTCTGGAAATGAACGCAGACTGCTTCAGATCGCCTGGACACGAATCGCCCTTCCTACCGTTGGCGGTACCGGAAATCGCTTGGTTGCCGTTAGCTCTCGTCGGAAATCGCCTGGTTGTCGTTAGCACTCGTCAGAAATCGCCTCAGATAGAGCTCTCACTTCTCACTAGATGCAAAGTGAATTCGCCACCGGGGTCATCCCTATTTATAGGGGGAGTTTGACAACGGTACTCCTCGAAAAACCAAACGGCGCATTAATGCGCCGCGCACCATCATTACTTTCGCCACGTGTCGCTCATCCTATAGGTAGCAGACGGCACGCGAGGCGCGGAAGTCGAAGCGCTCAGATGTCCCTTCACCCGTCAGCTCGACGCGACCTTCTGACTTCGCCAACGTCGGCCTCTGAACTGATGATGCCGGAAGGAACAAAGTTTGGCCCCTTCCCCAGGCGGGGTTACCGAACGGTAAGGCCGTGTTTCCTCCCGAAAACGACTTCAAATCCCCTTCCGAGGACTCTCGCAAGGGGACTTGGGGGACTCCTGTTTATACCAAAATGAACAGCCAATGAATATCAAACACGTGGCTAAACCAGGGCCAGGTGTGCCTTCGGCACCCCTCTTCGGTAACAAACCTACCAATCGCAACATTAGGGCAACCTCGCCCCCTCTGACGCGTGGCAGCCTCACAACTGACGCCCAGAGTCCCACATCGAAACTCTAAACAAATTGCACACCTCCCAAGGCCTATAAAAGAGGACATCCATCCCAGCTTGAAGGTAATCAATCAGAACTTACGGCATACTGCCTATTGATCTGCAGTTCAAGCTTATTAAACCCGTACTTACTTAAGCATCGGAGAGCCTTCGGCCGGTACCACACCGGTGCCCTAGGACTTACCGTGTGTTTGCTATCTTACAGATCGCTCACCCTACCGAGGACATCAGATACCGAAGAGACTTAATCACTAAGTTGCGCGGGAAAGTGCCGAACCATTTTTCTGCGTCAACAAAAGTTACAACGAAGGCTCCCAACTACCTTTAATCAGTGATACCTGTTTATACCATATTTGACCAAGCAACTAGAAGCAACTCTAGGCAAAGCAAAGAGTCCCACATTGGAATATTACAAGAAGCGAAGGCTCCCCCTCACCTATAAAAGGAGACCACTCTCCCCTTAGAAAAGGATCCATTGGGCTGGGCTTGATCTTTAGTCATGACCTTCCCCTTTCTTACATTTAAATTTGGGCCCAACCCCATGTACAAATGTAAATACACAATATTATAATAATGAGAATATACTTCTCCGTGGACGTAGCCCATTCATTATGGGTGAACCACGTATATCTTGTCTTCTGTATGTTTATCGCTTGCTCAAATCCTCACACACTTGGTGAAGGTCCTCACCTTTACCCATCATCCATCACACCTCATCACTAAGTTGGCCTCAAAAGTGCCGAACCATTTTTTAGCCTCAACAGTTTGGCGTCGTCTGTGGGAATCGACACAAAAAGCTTATGTCATTCTCCCTCTCTTCAGTGCCCTTCGGCACCCCTACAATCAGCATCTCCTAGCTTGCCGAACGGCAATACCATAATGGAGTAACCATGAGTGTCTCAAGAGAGTGACATGCAAAAGACGAATCCTTGCAATATAGTTCAAAAGAAGAGGAAATATGTGGGCCACCCTAGCTTCTCTCTTCACATGCCTTACCGTTCGGCACCTTTGGTGAATATTGATGAGTGGGCTCCCAAAAGATAAGAGCTGCATTTCTTATCTTGTGTCCTTATTTTATTCACATATGCCAATATAAATGTCTTACAGAAGACTCAAATCCAAGAGCCAATTGGAATATGAATAATCGGCAAACAAAAGGGAACAAAGGCAAAACTGCATGACTACCGTTCGGTAGCCATTCCCCACCGATCCACTAGGGGACTTGCCCTTTTATCTGTCGTTTGGAAGCTTCTGACGGCTGCCCATGTCAGTAATTCCTTCAAAGCATCCAAAGACCCAAGTCAACGTGACATCACCATCTCAACAAAATTCAAAACTGCCATTCGGCAATACCTCCGTTTCAAGTCATAAGCCCTTACCGTTCGGTACCCCACTTTGAATGGCTTTCACGACTGTCACGTTGCATGGAAAACGGAGCAGAAATCTGTTCCACTCCTTCGGCACCCAAGTGCATTTCACCATGAGATAAGATTCCTATTCTTATATTGTATTATTTCAACATAATTGCAAGCATGCAATATTTAATAGTTCACTGCGAAGTCCCATTCAACAATATGAATAACAACTGTCCAGATTCATTCACTTTGAAAAAGTTCCAATTCGGTAGTTGCCCAATACTCCAATTCACCAAAAATATCTTCTTCTTTTTGCATGGCTTGCATGGAGTACCCATACTGAAGCCCACATGCCAATCCAAAGGGCAACCCACATGGTCCATTTCCATGAGTTTGTGGCGTAGGTGCTGTTCAACACATGTCAATTGCCATTCGGCAATTCAATGGAATACCCATGTCGTGGGTAATGAGTCAAGGGATCGGCATCATGCTGTTCAGCACCAACTCAACTTGACTAAATTTCTTATGGCAAGTGACCCACCGGAGCAATAAAATCTCCCATGGCTATTGAAGTCCATGCACTTGTACAGAATCAAAGCCTTTAGCTGTGTACACCATGTCGACAAATTGCTCAAGACACCCAACCATTCGGTAGCTAAAGAAAACCCCACATGCCTCGCCCCAAGGCTGAATTGCTCAGAATTGTGTTCGGCAGCTCCTCCGGTGGCAGCTATATTTTGTCTTTTCTGGAAGCTCCATATCAGCAACTCTAAGGGCAGCTCCAGAAGCTCCCAAGTCTGCTAACTCATGGTTGGTCTTTGTCCTAATCACCGAACGGCACACCCATCCAAGATATTGCTCAAGGCCCCTATGAGCCCTGAGAAATCACCATCTCCATGACGTGTGACCAGCTTCCGAACAGTAACTTCACAGTTAGCTTCAATAGGCCTACCTCTCACTCTTATTTGAAGGCACATCACCAAACGGCAACACCGATAAACCTCGTCTTAGGTAACCACACACAGAGGATGAAGGCACCTGTTCGTAGCTAGCAAATCATATTACCGTTCGGTACCACCAGTTCTCAAAGCAACCACTTGGTCGAAATACCGAACGGCACACCCATCCAGGAGATTGATCAAGCCACCCAAAAGACTTGAGTGTCCATCCTTCTCTATGTTGCTCGATCAGCTACCGAACGGTAGCCATGCCATTGGCTTTCTCAAAGCACCCACTTGGTTGAAATATCGAACGACACACAAAGTGCAACATGGATACAACATAAATATGCCTTCGGCAAAATATTTTAGTCACTCACAAAGTGACCAAGCGGTACAACTCATACCACATTGCCTTTCGGCATATACGCATCATTACATGCGCATCATTGCCATCGGCACATCTACATCATCATCATTCGCATCATTGCCTTCAGCACATATGCATCATCCCATAAACATGATTGCCTTCGGCACATCCATATTTACATCAAAGAAAACCCAAGACTATTAGCCATCGGCAATACCCATTGGTAAAGATCATCGGCTTACACGCCAAAGAAAAGAAAATCCAAGCCTATTAGCCATCGGCAATAGCCATTGGTAATGACCTTCCACAAAAGCTCAAAGACCAAGAGCTACCCTTCGGCAAACCATATCAATCAATTGCTCAAGATATGCAAGATGTCCAAGTCAAGACAAAGGAGGCCAACCATTATTTCAATCTAATGGGAAGCTCACGTGGTTCACTCTCCAGGAGACAAGACACCCCATACACCTACCGTTCGGTAGGACATGGTTGAGCTAGGTAACGTGCCCAGACCTCCTGCTGATTGGCAATTCAATACATTATGCCTCACAGCTGATGACAGCCCCTGTCATGGCTCCAAAACCTTCTGAACTTGCTGGAGTTGATTCATCTTCAGCTCACTCCGTCAAAGCCCCTCTCACTTGTCTTACCGTTCGGCAAATCAAGATAATTGAGCCAACAGACTCCATCCTCAGCAATTGCTCCAATCTTTCGAAGCAGCTGAGCACATGCGTCTGCAAAGGCACCAAGTAAATAACCCTTGCATCAAAGCTATGCAGGGGGACTTGTCCCACTAATGGCGAATCAAACTACCGTCGGCACCGCAAATTACAGCCTTACTGGGCTACCTCTCATCTCTGCTAAAATTTCTCAAGTGTACCAACCAAGAGTGCCGAATTCAAGTTTTCAAGTTTTCAATAATCCAAGGCTACAGATCGAGAAAAAGGAGAAACGACATCGGTACAAAGCTCATCAAGTGAAAGGCCGAAAGCATAGCTCCACTGCTTCCACAACGGATACCGTTCGGGTGCTGGTCTTCCCCATCATGAGCTATGCTCTCGACACCCGTCATCCTACCGTTTGGGAAGTCGACGACCGAGCTTGCAAGAGCCCCCAAATCACCTATATCAGATTTGCTATTCACTTACCATTCGGTAGGAAAGCAAAGCGCGACATGCCCCACGACAAGCCATGATCAAGCTGTCAGCCTCCCACCATGGTTTCAGATCAGCAACCTCGGATAGTCATAAGCTAGAGGAGCTACTTCTCATTGGAATATTAACCTACCGTTCAGTAGGAAATAGCTTCCTTTCGCAGAAGCATCGCAAAGCCCACTCTCAGCCCCCAAGTGCTTTAACAAACGGTACCTCATGTGGCTCCGAGTGCAGACCGACCTTTACTGGTCTCTGAAATCAATATTGCCAAACGGCACCTTGCAGCCTTTGTGTGACCTCTTCTCCATCTCGCCCTTACCGTTCGGCAGGTCCAGATAATTGGGCCAAGAGGCACGGACAGACCACTACCAAACAATAATCCTTCTTACAGAAGTATCACCCCGGTGGAATTATAAGAAGACATGGATGGCTCTATAAAAATCTGCAAGCCTCACTATGCCGAACGGCACCCCAACATTCTCAAAAATTGGAGGGCCCCATCGGTAGTCAAAATACCCACGGCCGAATTATGGGCTTCATTACTCAGAGCCATACTGAGTTAATAAGCCCAGCCACCTCTCAAAATCAAAAAGGGCACATGCATGGTTTCATCCAAAGCAAGCACTACATGCCTTATTAAAGTCTTCGGCAGTAACCACTAATCTAGTGGAGGCCTACTTGTGGCACTTGGCATTCATGCACCCGAGATTATTAGCCATCGGCAATAATTATTAGAGAAGATCATCGGCATATACGCCAAAAGAAAAACCCAAGATTATTAGCCATCGGCAACAAACATTGGTAAGCTTGCTCTACAAGTTTTTGTTATTCGGCATGAGTGATGCCTTCGGCACCCCTTCATTATTCGGCGTGAGCGATGCCTTCGACACCCCGCCATCATTAGACGGGAGCGATGCCTTCGGCACCTCGTCATCATTCGGCGTGAGTGATGCCTTCGGCACCCCGTCATCATTCGGCGTGAGCGATGCCTTCGGCACCCCGCCATCATTGGACGAGAGCGATGCCTTCGGCACCCCATCATCATTCGGCATGAGCGATGCCTTCGGCACCCCGTAATCATTCGGTGTGAGCGATGCCTTCGGCACCCCGCCATCATTGGACGAGAGCGATGCCTTCGGCACCCTGTCATCATTCGGCATGAGCGATGCCTTCGGCACCCCGTCATCATTTTACAAAAGCGATGCCTTCGGCACCCTATCATCATTAGACGAGAGCGATGCATTCGGCACCCGTCATCATTTGACAAGATGGTGCCTTCGGCACCCTTATCATGATTTGACAAAAGCAACGCCTTCGGCACCCTGTCATCATCTGACGAGAGCGACGCCTTCGGCATCCCGTCATCACCTTCGGTACCCAGTCATAGCCTTCGGCACCTCGTCATCAATCGGCACCATCGATACTACACTACTTGGAAGAAGACTAAGGTGTTGCTCGGTCAATGCATTGAAAATTGCAAGTCCTCAACCAAGGAGTACCTCCTTGCTTAAGAACTTGGGCGACTTCTGTTTATACCATATTTGACCAAGCAACTAGAAGCAACTCTAGGCAAAGCAAAGAGTCCCACATTGGAATATTACAAGAAGTGAAGGCCCCCCCTCACCTATAAAAGGAGACCACTCTCCCCTTAGAAAAGGATCCCTTGGGCTGGGCTTGATCTTTAGTCATGACCTTCCCCTTTCTTACATTTAAATTTGGGCCCAACCCCATGTACAAATGTAAATACACAATATTATAATAATAAGAATATACTTCTCCGTGGACGTAGCCCATTCATTAAGGGTGAACCACGTATATCTTGTCTTCTGTATGTTTATCGCTTGCTCAAATCCTCACACACTTGGTGAAGGTCCTCACCTTTACCCATCATCCATCACACCTCATCACTAAGTTGGCCTCAAAAGTGCCGAACCATTTTTTAGCGTCAACAATACCAGACACAAAACACATCACAGTATTTTACTAAAATTTCATGAATAAATTCAAAGCGTGGGTTTTGAGAAGTGAATTTAGGACAACAACATAAGCCAGAAAATCTATGCAGATCAGTAAGACAAAATAAATGTGTTTTAGGTTTTACCTGAAGGAGAATTAGGAGTCGGAGAAAGCAATTTACTTACTATGTCTGAAACCTAAACATAGCATTGTCAGAGGTTAGAATTGTCATATGAGAGAGTAAGAGCGGAGATATGAGTAAGGAAAAGCGTTATAGCAGATATGAATTGAGCGAGAAATTGAGAGCACAAAGATGAGTTGAGCGATATAGCGATCTTGAGAAAGAGAAAATCGTAGATCCGTCCCCTCCCAATACCTGCACCAAAAGAAAGCATGAGATCCAGAATTAATATATAAATATAACGAAAAACGTAGGAGATTGAAGACAGATGAAAACAAATCAGAAACATTAACACCAAATCAGAAATACCCAAACATAAAAAGCTTAGAGATTTTCATACATTAGATTAAGAGATATTTAGTGATATACTAATTCTTAGCACTAATATTATAAATAAACCCTACTCCATTGAATTTTTATAAACAAACCCAAAAAAACCCCAAAAAATAACAGCTGGCTTTATTGAATTTAATATTGATTATTAAATTACTTTGATGCCTATTGAGTGTTTTGGGTATTTTTATGAGATTTTGGGGTTGGGCTTGTTTTAAGAAATTGATGGCAGTTTTGTAATTTATAAGAAGTTAAAAGCCTCTTTGTTATGTTGTAAATGGGCTTTGGGTGTGTTTATAAAGTCCATTTCATATGGGGTATTTTTATAATTTGGGCCTCTATATTGGGTATAATAGTGAATCTCCCTTAGATTAAAGCCCAGAGCAGTAGTGAGATCCAAGAGACAACGACCCAGCCTAAGAGAGAAAAACATAGTAAGATTAGAGAAATTACTCAATAAATTGAAACCCTAACTGAAATTTCCCAAAACATTGAAACCCTAAACTTAAATAATCTCACAGGACAACGCCAACGAGAAAGAGGACGTCGTTGCGGAAGAGGACGCCGACACCAAAGTAAAACCCTAACGTAGGGACTTCCATGGCTCTCTCTCGACAAGGAGGAGGATGCCTATGGCTCTCCCTTTCTTCGAATGCCTTAGGTAATTTTTGTTTTGGGCAAACTTCAAGTATCCAAATGGAGGAAAGTGAAGAAGGAGATGGAGGAGATCCGAAAAAATTGTGAGTTCTATTTTTTTTTCAGGGAGATAGAAGCTGAAAAATGGTGAGCGAGTTTGGGAGGGATTGAAAAAAGAAGAGGGAGCGTGAAATTTTTTTGTTGGAGCGTTGACTATAATTTTAGCATCAGTGCTTGCCAAAAAAAAGGCCCCTTTTTTTTTTTTTTTTTTTTTTTTATTTAAAAAAACACTTTAGGCATCAGTCATTAGAACAGACGATGCTAAATTGGCATCAAGGCATCGCAAACCAAAACAAAATATTTCTGCTGATGTCCTTTTACCCTTTAGCATCATAATTTATAAAAACGATGACTAACGTACTTAAAGCTTCGATTTTCATTCTACTGATGTCAATGTAGTTTTGCTAAAGCCAATTTTTGACATAGTGATGGCATAGTTTTAGCCATTGGATTTCGCTCAAAACTCACCAAATGACTTCTCCCACCATATTATGATGTTCCCCAAGTTTTGGATTCAATTCAATATCGATTGGTCCATGAAATTGGACAATTCAGGTTCGTACAAAGTTCGTTCTGAAATGGAGCGGTTGGTATATTGCATAGTTTTGGCCATTGGATTTCACTCAAAACTCACCAAATGTCTCCTCCCACAACATTATGATGTTCCCCAAGTTTTGGACTCAATCCGATATTGATTCGCCCACGAAATCATACAATTCAGGTTCGTTCGAAGTTCGTTCTAAAATGGAGTGGTTGGTGTATTGCATAGTTATAGAGATTGGATTTCCCTCAAAACAAACCAAATGACTCCTCCTACCATATTACGATGTTACCCAAGTTTTGGACTCAATCCGATATCGATTGGTCCATGAAATTGAACAATTCAGGTTTGTACGAAGTTCGTTCTGAAATGGTGTGGTTGGTTATTGCAAAGTTTTAGCCATTGGATTTCACTCACAACCACCAAATGACTCCTCCCACCATCCCACCATATTATGATGTTCCCCAAGTTTTGGACTCAATCTGATATCGATTGGTCCATGAAATCGGACAATTCAAGTTCGTTCAAAGTTCGTTCTAAAATGGAGTGGTTTGGTGTATTACGTAGTTTTAGCCATTGGATTTCACTCAAATCCACCAAATGACTCCTCCCACAACATTATGGTGTTCCCCAAGTTTTGGACCCAATCCGATATCGATTGGTCCATGAAATTGGACAATTCAGGTTCGTACGAAGTTCGTTCTGAAATGGAATGGTCGGTGTATTACACGTCTGAAATGGAATGGTTGGTGTATTAGATTCACTCAAACCCACCAAATGACACCTCCTTCCATATTACGATGTTCCCCAACATTTGGACTCAATCTGATATCGATTGGTCGAAGAAATTGGGCAACTTAGGTTCATACGAAGTTCGTTATGAAATGGAGTGGTTGGTGTATTGCATAGTTCTAGATTGGATTTCACTCAAAACTCACCAAATGACTCCTCCCACAGTATTTTCCCCTAGTTTTGGACTCAAACGGATATCGATTGGACCATGAAATCGGTCAATTCATGTTCGTTCGAAGTTCATTCTGAAATGGAGTGGTTGGTGTATTGCATAGTTTCTAGAGATTGGATTTCCCTCAAAACACACCAAATGACTCCTCCTACCATATTACGATGTTACCCCAAGTTTTGGACTCAATCCGATTTCGAGTGGTCCATGAAATTGGACAATTCAAGTTCGTACGAAATTCATTCAGAAATGGATTGGTTGGTGTGTTACATAGTTTTAGTCATTGGATTTCGCTCAAAACGCACCGAATGACTCAACCCGATATCGATTGGTCCATGAAATCGGACAATTCCAATTCGAACGAAGTTCGTTCTGAAATGGTCTAGTTGGTATATTGCACAGTTTTAGCAATTGGATTTCTCTCGAAAATAACCAAATGACTCCTCCCACAACATTATGGTGTTCCCCAGGTTTTGGACTCAATCCGATATCAATTAGTGCATGAAATCGGAAAATTCAGGTTCGTACGAAGCTCGTTCTGAAATGGAGTGGTTGGTGTATTGCATAGTTTTAGCCATTGGATTTCACTCAACACTCACCAAATGACTCCTCCGACCATATTATGACGTTCCCCTAGTTTTGGACTCAATCCGATATCGATTGGTCCAAGAAATTGGACTATTCATGTTCGGACGAAGTTCGTTCTCTAATGTTGTGGTTGGTGTAGTGCATAATTTTAGCAATTGGATTACACTCAAAACCCACCAAATGACTCCTCCCACAACATTATGATGTTCCCCAAGTTTTGAACTCAATCCGATATCGATTGGTCCATGAAATTGGACAATTTAGGTTCGTACGAAGTTCGTTATCGAATGGAGTGGTTGGTGTATTGCATAGTTTTAGCCATTTGATTTCACTCAAAACTTAGCAAATGACTCCTCCCACAACATTATGATGTTCCCCTAAGGTTTGGGCTCAATCTGATATCGATTGTTCCAAGAAATTGGACAATTCAGTTTCGTACGAAGTTCGTTCTGAATCGGAGTGTTTGGTGTATTGTATAGTTCTAGTGACTGGATTACACTCAAAACTCACCAAATGACTCCTCCAACCATATTGTGATGTTGCCGAAGGTTTGGGCTCAATCTGATATCGATTGGCCAAGAAATTGGAGTATTCATGTTCGTACGAAGTTCGTTCTCTAAAGGAGTGGTTGATGTATTCCATAGTTTTGGCAATTGGATTTCACTAAAAACACCCCAACTGACTCCTCCCACAACATTATGTTGTTCCCCAACTTTTGTACTCAATCCGATATAGATTGGTCCATGAATTGGACGATTCAGGTTCGTACGAAATCTGTTCTGAAATGGAGTGGTTGATGTATTGCATAGTTCTAGAGATTGGATTTCACTCGAAACCCACCAAATGACTGCTCAGACCATATTATGATGTTCCCGAAGTTTTGGGCTCAATCCGATATCGATTGGTCGAAGAAATTAGACTACTCATGTTTGTACGAAGTTCGTTCTCTAATGGAGTGGTTGTTGTATTGCATAGTTTTAACAATTGGATTTCACTAAAACACCAAATGACTCCTCCCACAAATTATGAGGTTCCCCAAGTTTTGGACCTAATCCGATATCTATTGGTCTATGAAATTGGACAATTCAGTTTCGTACGAAGTTCGTTCTGCAATGGAGTGGTTGGTGTATTGCATAGTTCTAGCCATTGGATTTCAATCAAAACTCACCAAATGCCTCCTCCCACCGTGTTATGATGTTGCCCAAGGTTTGGGCTCAATCATAAATCGATTGGTCCAAGAAATTGGACTATTTATGTTTGTACGAAGTTCGTTCTCTAACAATGTGTTTGAATGAGGAAGTTTAAAATTACGAAGGATTTCATAAATGACGGAAATTAATGTTCTAGAATTTGTAAAGTTTCTTGTTTGGTCGACTGATTTAAAACACGAAATTTAACCTTTATTCGTAAAGTTATCCAAACACGGGAATTGGTCCATGTAAATTTAGAAATTCTTTGTTTTTTCAAAATCCCAAATTTATTTCCCTCATCCAAACGCACCATACTAGAGTGGTTGGTGTATTGCATAGTTTTAGCAATTGGATTTCACTCAAACCACCAAATGACTCCTCCCACAACATTATGATGTTCCCCAAGTTTTACTCAATCCGATATCGATTGGTCCATGAAATTGGACTATTCAGGTTCGTACGAAGTTGGTTCTCTAATGGAGAGGTTGGTGTTTTGCATAGTTTTAGCCATTGGATTTCACTCAAAACCACCAAATGACTCCTCCCACAACATTATGATGTGCCCCAAGTTTTGGACTCAATCCGATATCAATTGCTCCATGAAATCGGATTCAGGTTCGTACGAAGTTCGTTCTGAAATGGAATGGTTGGTGTATTGCATAGTTCTAGAGATTGGATTTCACTCCAAACCCACCAAATGACTCCTCCCACCATATTATGATGTTCCCCCAGTTTTGGACTCAATCCAATATCGATTGGTCCACAAAATCGGACAATTCAGGTTCGTACAAGTTCGTTCTGAAATGGAGTGGTTGGGGTATTGCATAGTTTTAGCCATTGGATTTCACTCAAAACCCACCAAATGACTCCTCCCACCATATTATGTTGTTCCCCAAGTTTTGGACTCAATCCGATATCGATTGGTCCAAGAAATTGGACAATTCAGGTTCGTACGAAGTTCGTTCTGAAATGGAGTGGTTGGTGTATTGCATAGTTTTAGCCATTGGATTTCACTCAAAACACACCACTCCTCCCACACATTAAGATGTGCCCCAAGTTTTGGACTCAATCTAACATCGATTGGTCCATGAAATTGGACAATTCAGGTTCGTACAAATTCGTTCTGAAATGGAATGGTTGGTGTATTGCATAGTTTTAGCCATTGGATTTCACTCAAAACCCACCAAATGACTCCTCCCACCACATTATGATGTTCCCCAAGTTTTGGACTCAATCCGATATCGATTGGTCCATGAAATGGACAATTCAAGTTCGTACGAAATTCGCTCTGAAATGGAGTGGTTGGTGTATTGCATAGTTTTAGCCATTGGATTTCACTCAAAACACACCAAATGACCCCTCCCACAACATTATGATTTGCCCCAAGTTTTTGACTCAATCCGATATCGATTGGCTCACGAAATTGGACAATTCAGGTTCCTACAAAGTTTGTTTTGAAATGGAGTGGTTGGAGTATTGCATAATTTTAGCCATTGGATTTCACTAAAAACTCACCAAATTACTCCCACAACATTATGATGTTCCCCAAGTTTTGGACTCAATCAGATATCAATTGGTCCATGAAATTGGACAATTCAGGTTCGTACGAAGTTCGTTATGAAATGGAGTGGTTGGTGTATTGCATAGTTTTGGCCATTAGATTTCACTCAAAACTCACCAAATGACTCCTCCCACAACATTTTGATGTTCTCCAAGTTTTGAACTCAATCCGATATCGATTGGTCCATGGAATTGGAAAATTTAGGTTCGCACAAAGTTCGTTCTGAAATGGAGTGGTTGGTGTATTGCATAGTCTTAGGCATTGGATTTCACTCAAAACTCACCAAATGGTTGTTCCCACAACATTATGCTCTTCCCCCAGTTTGGGACTCAATCCGATATTGATTGGTCCATGAAATTGGACAATTCTGGTTTGTACGAAGTTCGTTCTGAAATGGAGTGGTTTGTGTATTGCATAGTTTTAGCATTCGATTTCTCTCAAAACTCACCAAATGACTCCTCCCACAACATTATGATGTTGCTCAAGTTTTGGACTCAATCCGATATCGAGTGATCCATGAAATTGGACAATTCAGGTTCGTACGAAGTTCGTTCTGAAATGGAGTGGTTGGTGTTTTCTCGTTTAGTATTTGTTTCTGTGATGGGCAAAGTTCCCCATTGCCTTGAAAAGCATTGATTGGTCAACAAATCAACTTTCTTTTGTGTGCGAGCGTGCCACTGCTAGCAATAGCAATTCTAGCAGAGTTCTTAAAATATATAACTTGAGCCCCAAGTTTCTGATTTCTTAAACAAACGATTGTGAATTTGGGCGAGGCATATCTCCCAAGTAAGTTCTTTTCCTGCCTCAGATTGGTGAGGACTTCACAATTTGTCTCAGTATAAGATTGGTAATTCTTGCCAGAATAAATGATAATAAAATGAACCGTTTTAGGCAGAACTGCCTTTTACAAAACTAGAGAGAGAAAATCAACTCTACAAAGACAAAAAGGTGGTTGAAATTCCATTTCTTCTTGGATAGAAGCTTCCGATCCGGGCTGGACTAGGTATGTCTATGTTGGACTGAACTGTCAGCAACTTCAATTGCTTAGCTTCAGCTATAAATCGATACCAAAGTTCAATTGCTTAGCTTCATCTTTGGTCTAAAAGGGGTAGAAGTGGCTGGACTTGAGGATTACTGAGCTGGAACTGCGCTATGGTACTTGTTTTGCTTGATCAGGGATCTCTATAAATTTTTTGAGGTTTTCATATTTGTGAAAACTCAAACTCTGCTTGTCTTGGCTTTTGATGAACCAAATCTGTAACGAGAGAAGTCTGGTTTTGAATGACTTATTTCTCCAAGTCTGAAAATGGAAGTTCTTATCTATAGCTGGCTTCTCTTATGGCTCAAAATGAGCTTTTGGTTTTTCCAATTTGTTTTGAATGTTCTCAGTGATCAAGTGATCATTTTGAGTTTTTACCTATGGTTGATTTTTGATTGTTTGATTGATTGTTTGATTTTTTGGGGTCCTTTGCTCTGTTCACCCTCTCCTATATTTATAGAAAATTCTTTGGAGTAGGGTTTCTTTCTTTTAATAATGGGCGGCAAATTTCTCAAAGATTTATTTTAAATGTAAAAGAAAAAGGGGTTCTATCAGCTCTGGCAGATAAGCTCTCAATAGTCAGTTTTTAAGACAAATCACTTCTCTGTTTTTGAAAGAGAACCCAACCCCTCTTTAATTCTAACTGCCCTTTATGAGAGCTAAAAAACCGTGATGGCTAGTTTGATTTTCCAGTTTGAACAACAACTTGTTTTCCTGCTTATCTATTTTTGAGAACATAGCATGCGTATCCCTCGAAATCCTTGGAGTAAAAACATTATCTCTAAATGTATAAAAGGGTTTTGATGTTCTGATGGTCAGATATTGAGAGATGTCTCTTTCTAGTTTCTTGCATTTGTTAACCTTTCATCAACCCAGTTGAGAATTTTGACTTTTCTAAGTCAGAAACATCACGTGGGTCTGTTCTTGTTTTGGGCTTTTTCTCTTTAATCATGCCAAGCCTAAGTTGATAAATGGGTTGACTTCTACCTTTTCTCTATATTTCCGAGGCCCAAGTTTTATTCTTTTATGTTTTTAGGCAGATCCTGGGCTGGGCTTCCTTTGTTTTGGGCTTTTGACCCCTGTTTATTTCACAAAGTCCAGACTGCTTGGGCCTTGTGGCCCCATTCTGGGTTTTTTCCGTGTTGGGCAAGGTGCACAAAATTTTGCCCCAAACAGTTGGTGCATTGCATAGTTTTAGCCATTGAATTACACTTAAAACTCACCAAATGACTCCTCCCACAACATTATGACGTTCCCCAAGTTTTGGACACAATCCGATATCGATTGGTCCATGAAATTGGACAATTCAGGTTCGTACGAAGTTCGTTCTGTAATGGAGTGGTTGGTGTATTGCATAGTTCTAGGGATTGGATTTCACTCAAAACCCACCAAATGACTCCTCCCACTATATTATGATGTTCCCCAAGTTTTGGACTCAATCCGATATCGATTGGTCCATGAAATCGGACAATTTAGGTTCGTACGAAGTTTGTTCTGAAATGGAGCGGTTGGTGTATTGCATAGTTTTGGCCGTTGGCTTTCACTCAAAACTCACGAAATGACTCCTCCAACCATATTATCATGTTCCTCAAGTTTTGGGCTCAATCCGATATCGACTGGTCCAATAAATTGGACTATTCATGTTCTTACGAAGTTCGTTCTCTAATGGAGTGGTTGGTGTATTGCATAGTTTTGGCCATTGGATTTCACTCAAAACTCACCAAATGACTCCTCCCACAACATTATGATGTTCCCCAAGTTTTGGACTCAATCCGATATCGATTGGTCCATGAAATTGGACAATTCAGGTTCGTACGAAGTTCGTTCTGAAATGGAGTGGTTGGTGTATTGCATAGTTTTAGCCATTGGATTTCACTCAAAACTCACCAAATGACTCCTCCCACCATATTATGATGTTCCCCAAGTTTTGGACTCAATCCGATATCGATTGGTCCAAGAAATTGGACGATTCAGGTTCGTACGAAGTTCTTTCTGAAATGGAGTGGTTGGTGTATTGCATAGTTTTAGCCATTGGATTTCACTCAAAACTCACCAAATGACTCCTCCCACAACATTATGATGTTCCCCAAGTTTTGGACTCAATCTGATATCGATTGGTCCATGAAATTGGACAATTCAGGTTCGTACGAAGTTCGTTCTGAAATGGAGTGGTTGGTGTATTGCATAGTTTTAGCCATTGGATTTCACTCAAAACCCACCAAATGACTCCTCCCACCATATTATGATGTTCCCCAAGTTTTGGGACTCAATCCGATATCGATTGGTCCAAGAAATTGGACTATTCAGGTTCGTACGAAGTTCGTTCTGAAATGGAGTGGTTGGTGTATTGCATGGTTTTAGCCATTGGATTTCACTCAAAAACCACCAAATGACTCCTCCCACAACATTATGATGTTCCCCAAGTTTTGGACTCAATCCGATATCGATTGGTCCATGAATTGGACAATTCAGGTTCGTATGAAGTTCGTTATGAAATGGAGTGGTTGGTGTATTGCATAGTTTTAGCCATTGGATTTCACTAAAACCTCACCAAATGACTCCTCCCACAACATTATGATGTTCCCCAAGTTTTGGACTCAATCCGATATCGATTGGTCTACGAAATCGGACAATTCAGGTTCATACGAAGTTCGTTCCAAAATGGAGTGGTCGGTGTATTGCATAGTTTTAGCCATTGGATTTCACTCAAAACTCACCAAATGACTCCTCCCACGACATTATGATGTTCTCCCAAGTTTTGGACTCAATCCGATATCGATTGGTCCATGAAATTGGACAATTCAGGTTCGTACAAAGTTCGTTCTAAAATGGAGTGTTTGGTGTATTGCATAGTTCTAGATATTGGATTTCACTGAAAATCCAGCAAATGACTCCTGTCACCATATTATGTTGCTCCCCAAGTTTTGGACTCAATCTGATATCGATTGGTCCATGAAATTGGACAATTCAGGTTCGTACGAAGTTCGTTTTGAAATGGAGTGGTTGGTGTATTGCATAGTTTTAGCCATTGGATTTCACTCAAAACTCACCAATGACTCCTCCCATGACATTATGATGTTCCTCAAGTTTAGGACTCAATCCAATATCGATTGGTCTACGAAATTGGACAATTCATATTCGTTCGAAGTTCGTTTTGAAATAGAGTGGTAGGCGTATTGCATAGTTTTAGCCATTGGATTTCACTCAAGACCCACCAAATGACTCCTCCCACCATATTATGTTGTTCCCCAAGTTTTGGACTCAATCCGATATCGATTGGTCCATAAATTGGACAATTTCAGGTTCGTACGAAGTTCGTTCTGAAATGGAGTGGTTGGTGTATTGCATAGTTTTAGGAATTGGATTTCACTCAAAACCCACCAAATGACTCCTCCACCCATATTATGATGTTCCCCAAGTTTTGGACTCAATCCGATATCGATTGGTCCATGAAATCGGACAATTCAGGTTCGTACGAAGTTCGTTCTGAAATGGAGTGGTTGGTGTATTGCATAGTTTTAGCCATTGGATTTCACTCAAAACTCACCAAATGACTCCTCCCACAACATTATGATGTTCCCCAAGTTTTGGACTCAATCCGATATCGATTGGTCCATGAAATTGGACAATTCAGGTTCGTACAAAGTTCGTTCAGAAATGGAGTGGTTGGTGTATTGCATAGTTTTAGCATTGGATTTCACTCAAAACCACCAAATGACTCCTCCCACCATATTATGATGTTCCCCAAGTTTTGGACTCAATCCGATATCGATTGGTCCACGAAATCGGACAATTCAGGTTCGTACGAAGTTCGTTATGAAATGGAGTGGTTGGTGTATTGCACAGTTTTAGCCATTGGATTTCACTCAAAACTCACCAAATGACTCCTCCCACAACATTATGATGTTCCCCAAGTTTTGGACTCAATCCGATATCGATGGGTCCATGAAATTGGACAATTCAGGTTCGTACGAAGTTCGTTCTGAAATGGAGTGGTTGGTGTATTGCATAGTTTTAGGCATTGGATTTCACTCAAAACCCACCAAATGACTCCTCCCACCATATTATGATGTTCCCCAAGTTTTGGACTCAATCCGATATCGATTGGTCCATGAAATCGGACAATTCAGGTTCGTACGAAATTTGCTCTGAAATGGAGTGGTTGGTGTATTGCAAATTATTAGCCATTGGATTTCACTCAAAACCACCAAATGACTCCTCCCACTATATTATGATGTTCCCCAAGTTTTGGGACTCAATCCGATATCGATTGGTCCATGAAATTGGACAATTCAGGTTCGTACGAAGTTCGTTTTGAAATGGAGTGGTTGGTGTATTGCATAGTTTTAGAGATTTGATTTCACTCAAAACCACCAAATGACTCCTCCCACAACATTATGATCTCCCAAGTTTTGGACTCAATCCGATATCGATTGGTCCATGAAATGGACAATTCAGGTTCATTCGAAGTTTGTTCTGAAATGGAGTGGTTGGTGTATTGCATAGTTTTAGCCATTGGATTTCACTCAAAACCACCAAATGACTCCTCCCACCATATTATGATGTTCCCCAAGTTTTGGGCTCAATCCGATATCGATTGGTCCAAGAAATTGGACTATTCAGGTTCGTACGAAGTTCGTTCTTAAATGGAGTGGTTGGTGTATTGCATAGTTTTAGCAACTGGATTTCACTCAAAAACCAACCAAATGACTCCTCCCACACATTATGATGTTCCCCAAGTTTTGGACTCAATCCGATATCGATTGGTCCATGAAATGGACAATTCAGGTTCGTAGGAAGTTCGTTCTGAAATGGAGTGGTTGGTGTATTGCATAGTTTTAGCCATTGGATTTCACTCAAAAACCACCAAATGACTCCTCCCACAATTATGATGTTCCCCAAGTTTTTGGATTCAATCCGATATCGATTGGTCCATGAAATCGGACAATTCAGGTTCGTACGAAGTTCGTTCTGAAATGGAGTGGTTGGTGTATTGCATAGTTTTAGCCATTGGATTTCACTCAAAACCAACCAAATGACTCCTCCCACCATTTTATGTTGTTCCCCAAGTTTGGGCTCAATCCGATATCGATTGGTCCAAGAAATTGGACTATTCAGGTTCGTACGAAGTTCGTTTCTGAAATGGAGTGGTTGGTGTATTGCATAGTTTTAGCCATGGATTTCACTCAAAACCAACCAAATGACTCCTCCCACAACATTATGTTCCCCAAGTTTTGGACTCAATCCGATATCGATTGGTCCATGAAATTGGACAATTTGGGTTCGTACGAAGTTTTTTTCTGAAATGGAGTGTTTGGTGTATTGCATAGTTCTAGAGATTGATCCTTGAAATTGGACTATTCATGTTCGAACGGAGTTCGTTCTCTAATGGAGTGGTTGGTGTATTGCATAGTTCTAGAGATTGGATTTCACTCAAAACTCACCAAATGACTCCTCTCACAATGTTGTGATGTTCTCCAAGTTTTGAACTCAATCTGATATCGATTGGTCCATGAAATTGGACAGTTCAGGTTCATACGAAGTTTGTTCTGAAATGGAGTGGTTGGTGTATTGCATAGTTGATGAGAATCTAAAATTACATCTTTTTAATATTATTTTGGAGAATTTGTGATATAATTTTGGCTTAATATATATAATTTCACTTCTTGTTACATTTTATTCTCACAAACCAGATTTATGAATTTTCTATATTAATTTGGTGAAGTTATTAGGTGAATTTATCTTCTATAGGAAGTTAGAAAGCCAAAAGATGAAGACATACATTTGTCCAAGTTCAAGCTTGGTGTGAAGAGAATTGCTGGCGGATTTTATTGAAGAATTGATTGAGGGATTATTGTGATTATAAAGAGAAGTAAAGAGGGCGAAGAGAAGACAAAACCGTTGAAGCTAAACAGCCTATTTCATGTCATTCATTTTTAACGTCCACCTACCTCACCATTATTTCTTTTCCACTAACTCTTCACCCTCAACACATGTTTAATCCAATTAATCCCTCAATTAAACCATTCATCACCCACCACGAATGTATTAACTTCCCACTCACCTCATTGACTATTATAAATCACCCATCAACTTATTTGGCAAGGGCACCCCTACAACAGATTTCTTTATCCATTTAGTTTATATTTTCCTTTGTAATGAGTTGCTAGAACTCTAGCTAAGGCTAAAGGGAATGTTCTTTGAGTAAGTTTGTGAATTGTTATTTAATCCAATTGTTTGGGCCAAAAGAAATCTCACGATCGGCCCACTTCTTAGAAAGGCCCATGAAACAAAAAGAATAGAAGAGCTGGGCTTCGAATTATCAGATCAGGAGTGAGCCCAACCCACGTCTTTTCAGAAGTGGCGGAAATGTAAAAATTCCAAAATAAATGGCAATTACATTTTAGGCAAATCAAAGAATTAGATTGGGCCAAAATCTACTACCATCTCTCTCGAAGGCCTAGGAGCAAATCAACAGACCTTTTTGAAGGAACTATTCTCAAGGGAGCCCATAAGAAGTCCACATGACTATCTAAAAAACTTTGAAAGTCAACAATATCAACTGAAAGTGATAAGAGAGCTAAAATTGGGACAAGTACAGAAATATGACATCTCTGAAAAACTTTGCCAAAACAGAAGATCAATATATATATATATATTCAGAGATATTTCTTCTACTCCGAAGAGGGTGATTCTCCCAAAAAGACAAGCAGGAGAACAGAGAGTTGTTCAAAACTGGAAAATCAAACTGACCATCACGATTTGAACTCTCACAAGGGGCAGTTGGGATTAGAAAGGGGTTAGGTTCTCTTCCAGAACTGATAAAATCCCTTTTTCTTTGTATTTAAAATTAAGAGATCTTTTGAGAAATTTTGCCGCCCATTATTAAAATAATTACCCTATTCCTAAACATTTCTTATAAATATAAGAGGGAGTGAACAGGGGAAAAAAAATCATCAATCAATGAAACAATCAAAATCAACCAAAGGCAAAAACTCAAAATGATCACTTGATCACTAAGAACCTTCAAAGCAAACTGAAGCAACCAAAAGCTCATTTGAGCCAAGAAGAAGCCAGCTATAGATCAAGAAACCTCCAAGTTCAAACTTAGAGAAATAAATCATTCAAAACGAGAATTCTCTCGTTACAAATTTGGTTCAGCAAAAGCCAAAACAAGCAGAGTTCGAGTTTTCACAAATATGAAAACCTCAACAAATTTGTGGAGAGCCCTGACCAAACAGAACAAGTACCATAGTGCAGTTCCGGTTCAGTAACTCTCAAGTCCAACCACTTCTGCCCCGTTCAGACCAAATAAGTTGCAGTTATGCCCGTTCAAAAAGCCTTCCAGGGCTCGAGATAGATTGAAGCTCTGCCAAAATCAAACTTTGGTATCGATTTACAGCAGAAGCTTAGCAGTTGAAGCTGCTGACAGTTCAGTCCAACACAAACATGTCCAGTCCAGCCCGAATCAGAAGCTTCTGCCCAAGTAGAAATGGAATTTCAGCCACCTTTTTGTCTTTCTAGAGTTGATTTTTCCCTATCTAGTTTTGTAAAAGGCAGTTCTGCTTGAAATAGTCCATTTTATTATCATTTATTTTGGCCAGAACTACCAATCTTGTACTGAGATAAATTGTAGTCCTCACCAGTCTGAGGAAGGGAAATAACTTACTTGGGAGATATTCCTCACCCAAATTCACAATCGTTTGTTTAAGAAATTAGTAACTTAGGGCGCAAGTTATCTATTTTAAGAAGTCTGCTAGAATTGTTTTTGCTAGCAGTGGCACGCTCGCGCACTAAAGAAAGTTGACTTATTGACCAGTTAATGGTTTTCAAGGCAATAGGAACTTTACCCTACCATCATAGGAACAAAAACAAAACGGGTGAACAATTTGGCATGCCCAGTAGGACTTCTCAGTAAACATATTCTTAAAGAAATTTTCTAAAAGTATATGAATATTGGAAGTTCTAGCCAGAACCCACGCTACACAATGGAAAGAGATCAAGCAACTCTCCGAGAAGGACTGGAGTCAGAAGAAAGTGATGCTAGGCAATCAGCCCATGGCAGTACCGGAAGTAGACGCTCTAGGGCCGGCTCCAGGAGGTTAAACCAAATGCAGGAAGTTGTATATTGACGTGAGGCTACAGCACAAAGGAGCCAAGACACTCTGAATAACATGACAGCCATGATGCAGTGGCAATTTAACAGGCAGTTCAGGAAGGACCTTGAAGCTGCTATGGCCAGAATTCCAAACTCAGATGTTGTGGTCCAGCAGCTAGACCTCCCTTATGGTCCTCCACCAGGATTGGCATGGCCATACCAAGAGAATCCCCTCATTGCGCAGATAGATGGAATGCCAAGGCATGGAGAGATCCAAGCTGGACAGAGGGGAGGAGCCCTTCCTATCCAAGAACAAGAGGGTCCAGTTCAGGCAGAGGACCCTGCACCAGGTAAGGTCCAACAAAATCAGCCAGAACCTCCACCTATTCCACAAGCTATGGTTCCATGTGATCAGCCCCTGACACTTCTGCTTGACGCACCAGCTGTGTTGCCTTACAGACCTAGAAAGATGGATCCCAATCCATTTCCTCCACCAGCAAGAGGCAGAAGAGGCAGAGGTGGAATCAACCCTTTTGCCAACAATGACAGGAACAAACTAGGGGCAAACTAGAGGAATCATCCAGACTTTCAAGAAGAAGAAGAGCACAGAGAGAAAGCTCTGCCCAGGCCATACTGGATGGAGCATAGGATGGACCAGATGCATCCAGAATAGGGACAAAATCTGCACCCTGTCAATGCTTTAAATGACATGGGGGCACTACAGAGAATGATCAGGGAAATGATGGAGCCTGAAGCCAGAAGAGGAGAGAGGCCCACCTACAAAAAGCCTTATCCGGCCTACATTGATCAGATACCTCTATCACCAAGTTTCAAGGTCCCAAACTTCACTTTGTTCAATGGAGAGAACCCCCATGCTTCATCAGTTGAGCATATAGGCAGATTTTCTGTCCAGTGCATAGCCATAGAGAATAACCCTCTGTTAAAGCTAAGGCTTTTGGGAAATTCTCTCTCTGAACAAGCTTTCACCTGGTACACCAGTCTACCAGCCAACTCTATCCAAACTTGGGACCATATGGAAAACGTTTTTCATGACTACTATTTCAGGATCTAGCCAGAAATCACCATAAGTGATCTTGCTTCCCTCAAACAGAGTGAAGATGAACCTACTCAAGACTTCATAACCAGGTTCAGAAAACTCAAGATGAAATGCCGGATCCCTATGGAAGAAAGACACTTTATCCAGATGGCCCAACCTGCCCTTAAAATCTCTCTGAGAAAAAGATTTGATGGGATACTGTTTGGAGACCTGACAGAACTGGCAGATAAAGCATCTAAATATGAGGAGCTTCTTAGGGAAGAACAACAGAAGATGAACTCTTCCAAAGGCACGTACTACAAGACTCCTTCCTCTTCAGTCCATCTAGTTGAGGTAGAATCAGAAGAAGATACAGAAGGCTCAGAGGGAAGAAAAATTGCAGTAGCAGAGATGGCAAAATTGAAACATCCCATCAGCTGCAAGGCTCTTACAAAGCCACCAAAGGACCAAAAATCGCCACCATTCACAAGAGGGTTCGTTCCAAACAAACCAACACAGAACAAGGTCTATTCCTTTGATCTGACCAAAGTGGATGCTTTGTTTGATGAAATGCTACTACAAAAGGCAATAGAGACCCCCCACAAGTTGTCCAAGCCAGAAGAACTCAAGGGCAGACAATATTGTAGGTGGCACAACTCTTGGAACCATTCCACCAATAGTTGTGTTGTTTTTAGGGATGTCATACAAGGGAGAATAACAGCAGGAAGGCTAAAACTGGTAGAGAAACCTCCATCAGTTACAACAGACTCCTTTCCCTAGCCACAAGTCAACATGGTCAACCTAAATTGGCCAGAACAGAAGAAAAGCAAACCAACAACAAAAGCTAGTTCTAGTAGAGACAGAAGAGTTTTGAGGGAGACTAGTCAAAGGCCAAAGGCAACCATCTCGATTTGGGTAGTGCTTTGCAGCAAATGCAAGTGTGAAACTAAGACCCGCCCAACATAGCAGAAGAAAGATGGAGCCGCCCAAGAAGGAAATACCAATTAAGATGTCCGGGAATGAAAAGCCCTTGGCAACTATCATAGAAGGCAGATGGTATTATGCGGGGAAAAGTGGTAGACCAACTCTGGAGTTAACTAGAACTCAGAAAATGAGGGTTCAAAGGCAGTACTACACATTCCTCAAAAACCAGGGTGATATACAGGGTCTTTCAGAGACCAGTTCTGCCAGAAAAGGGAAGAATCTGGAAGTACTCTCTCAGATAGAACGAACAACCTGCCAGCCACAAAAGCTGGTAAAAACAGAATCTCCAAGCAAATCCTCTATCCATCTTGCCTCATCCTCAGTCAATCAGCTTGAGCCTTCACAAGCACAAGGTGAATTCAAACCTATTCCAGTGGAAGAACAAAAAGATTGGACTGAAGAGTATGAAAAGGAGCAGCTGGACTATGAACCATCCGCAAATGACCAGAACGGACTCCTCGAGACACGAAAACAGGGAGACTGAACAGAAGAATATGGGGAAGAACAGATGGAGTATGATGGAGAACTAGATGAAGAAACTGAGGCTTTTGGTGCAGAATTAGATAGCCTGTTGCAGGGTAATCTGGGCATCAACATGGTCTTCATCTTGCCAGAAGAATTCAGGGCAGCAGAAGGGCAAGAAAACACTTTGGAAGGAGATGTTTTCTCCCAGGAAAGCTTTGAGTGCAGGTTGGCAGAAGTAGAAGAGGCACCAGAGCAACAAGCCCCTATTGCCAAGACAAGTGGAACTGCCATGAAACTGACTGCAGAACAGCTTTGCTTCTCCAAACCAACCAAGGAGATGGCCAATCACCTCAGACCTTTGTTCATAACAGCAAACTTTGGGGGTATTCCTATTCCTAAGGTCTTGGTGGATGGAGGTGCAGCTAGAACAGCAAGCCCCTACTTACCCCACAGATTGTTGAGTAAGATGAGCAGAACAGAGAAGGATTTAATTCCAACACGTTTAACTATCACCAATTTTGATGGGGGCATCACCAAGACTCATGGAATCCTGGATGTGGATGTCATAGTTGGAACCAAGGAATTGAAGATTGCATTTTTCGTGGTAGATACTACTTCTACCACTTACAATGCATTGCTTGGCAAGGACTGGATTCACCAGGGCTTATGTGTTCCTTCCACTCTACATCAACAATTAGCCCTTTGGAATGAAGAAGGTTACATGGAGATAGTAGAGGCTGATGCACGACCATTTCTTCATTCTGCCATGTGTTTTGAGGCAAGGTATTATCATTATGACCTTGGTCCTTTCACCTTCCTTAGAGTCAATCAGAACGGCCGCCCTCATGGTGTCACATCCTAGAGACTCATTGAAGATGGTTTAGCCAGTTCTCTAGAAGACTGGAATAGACCTTTTGTTCTAAACCTCGAGAACTCTGATGTTTAGCCCCAATCAACAAGAGAAGGATCGAGCTGCAACAATCTGATCCATTACAAAAAGATTGTTGATATATTGGGAAGAAAGGAAGCTCTCTATACAGGATTGTTGACAGAATTCACCCAGGAGAGCACTGAAGAGTAGGAAGAGAGTTTGTAGGAGGAAGTACTAGATTTTGCACCAGCAGCACTATATGATTCTTTACCAGAAGTGGAAGATCCACTGTAGGAGATAAACTTAGGGACAAAAGAAGATCCTAGACCCACTTTCATTAGTGCATTGTTGGAAGAGCCACTCAAGACTGAAATCATTGCACTTTTGCATGATTTTAGAGACTGTTTTGCTTGGCATTATCATGAGATGCCTGGATTAGACAGAAAGCTGGTGGAGCACAAGCTGCCAATTAAAAAGGGTTACCTACCCGTTAAACAGGCCAGAAGAAGAATGTCTATGGACACGGAACTGAAGGTTAAGGAAGAAATAGAAAGATTGATCAAAGCAGGATTCATCAGACCAGCCATTTATGCTGATTGGCTAGCCAATATTGTACCAATCCTGAAAAGAAAAACAAGGGTAGTTAGAATCTACGTGGATTGTGGTGTGAGAAATAACTAACGCACAAATTAAACCTTATAAATAGTACACGTAAGTAGGGATCGTTCTATTTCGGGGATTAGGAGGGATGCTAATCAACACATATTAAACTTATTAAACTGAAAACTAAGTTAAGGGAACAATGATTGGGGGGAATTTGGACAATTTAGACTAAAGTAATACTGACAACAGCAAACAACTAAGTTGTGAATGAAATATGGATGAAGGGATAGCTAGAGGATTATTCCCCACACATGGAACATATGCACACAAATCGATCTCCAGTTACTCTTTCTATAAAGTATGAATGACAAAGCCCCAAATTAATTGTGAATGCACTAATTAACTCTCAGATTTTCCTAAGTTCATTGAATTGGACTCAGTGACGCAATCAAATTATCCTTATCAAGTTCCCTATATGAACAGCATGATAGAGATACATATCAAAGATCATTAAGTTCTATGAAAATCATAAGCCTTGACAAGGCATTTGTAACTATGAAAAGCATGATACTCCTGCCAGGAATTTACTTAACGCAATCATGACTAGTGACTTTTACTACTTGTGAATATAAGTTCATAACGATTAGGTGAAATTCCCTTATATTCTAGCATGAAATCCCTGCATGAAAACTAAGTATGCATCCTTAATAAACATACAAGAATAAGTCCTCAATAAAACAGAAAAGTAAATCACATTCATACTTTACGAAACCATAACTGGGAGTAATCAATTCATATAAAACATATGTCCATGGCTTCAAATTCACCTCTAACTAAGAAGAAATTCAGTCACACATGTTCATAATAATTGAAAGCAATCTAGAATAAACATTTAAACTAATCAAGGGAAGAACTCTGAAAAACCCAATGGATGCAGCAGGTTCCGGCTCCAAGTTCTTCTTCTCCCTTTCTCCTTTCTTGCTACGGCACCAAAAGAACTCCCTTCTCCTACGGCAACCCCTCCTTTATATATGTGGTAGATCTAGGGTAAAAGGGCCCAGCAGAAACCCACGAAATTAGGGTTTTGTTTGGCAGATTTCTTTAGGAATTATAGGGCCCAACAGAAACCCACGAAATTAGGTTTTTAGGTTTCCTAATATGAATGTGCCAGGATCATCCAGAATGTGCCAGGAGCAGAGATGTTCAATGGACTCTCTAGAGTGGCGCTATGAAGGTTCTTGTACAGGTGAGCTAGAACATGGGGCCAAGTCCCACGTCAACGTGATTGTGGAAAGCCTCTGCGAGGTGCTTGTATTCCAACAGAACTACCGAGGAGCGATTGGGGAAAACGAACCAATTCAACCAGTAGAGCAGAAATAACATGTGTTGCTGGTCCTTGTCCTTTTTAGTGCTGAACTTCTTTAAAAAGTTGGAGAAGGAACAATTCTGGTTGATCGTGGCAGCAAGAATGGTAAAGGGTTTGGCCAATCTCTTTCGATTCTTTCCTCTGTGATAGTCACCAACAGCATCAACAGGCCTCCCATGGAGCCTGAATCCAAATATTTGAGCAAGATCCAGCAGGGTTGGACTCATGGGACCCAAGCGGAAGTCGAAGGTGTTGCTGGCAAAGTTCCATAAACACAAGGCAGCAGCCAGCAGGTTCTCGTCCCTATTAACAGAACTCTTGGATAGCAAGATCGCGTCGTAAATTCCAGCCTTCTTCCAATAAGCTCCATGCCTTGGGAGAAGTCTGTCGATCCAATCTGACCACCTCACTGCACTGTTCCTCACTTCACTTGAAGGACAAGAACGACTCAAGTTCTTGCTAACCCAAGTATGAGAGGACAGAGCCACGGGACTTTGAAGGTATAGAAGGGCCTCAGCATCTTCCTTGAACAGATCAACCATTTCTTTCGGCACGGAGCCAAACCAGTGAGGACCCAAGACGAGGGTGTTTTCAAGCAAATGAAGCACGTTTTCATCTAGATTCTTCCACGCATAAGGATGAAGCCTGCTACAGACCTCAATCACATGTTGATCGACCCCCATCTCCGGTGAGATAAGCAGGAGAGCATGAAGAAGAGGAGCTCTTAGCACGAGTGTTCAGAGAAGACATTCTTTCCTTCTCTCTTTCGAAACCAGATGAACAAAGGGAGAATTAGAAAGAACGGAATCAAAAGAACAGAGGGTTTCAAAAGGAATAGAGAGCTGAGACAGAGCTGAGATAGAACTAGGGTTCGATGAATCAGTATTGGAGGTGCGATAGAAATTTTATAAAATTGAGCATGAAGATCATGGCAAGTGGGAAGGAAGGAGTTGATGCTCAGATTTAATTAGCCGTTAGAACCTATTCCCCACGAAGCCTAAAAATTGAATAGGTAGACGTGCGCTAGTGAAATGGTAGGAAATGGCGCACATCATTGATTGGCCAATCACTAAGTCTGAAACCGTTTTTAAACAGTTCAGACTTAAGTGGGCATTGTTTGGGCCAAAACAAATCTCATGACCGGCCCACTTCTTAGAAAGGCCCATGAAACAAAAATAATAAAAGAGCTGGGCTTCGAATTATCAGATCAGGAGTGAGCCCAACCCATGTCCTTTCAGAAGTGGTAGAAATGTAAAAAATGCCAAAATAAATGGCAATTACATTTTAGGCAAATCAAAGAATTAGATTGGGCCAAAATCTACTACCATCTCTCTCAAAGGCCCAGGAGCAAATAAACATATCTTTTTGAAGGAACTATTCTCAAGGGAGCCCACGAGAAGTCCACGTGACCATCTAAAAAACTTTGAAAGTCAACAATATCAACTGAAAGTGATAAGAGAGCTAAAATTGGGACAAGTACAGAAAGATGACATCTCTGAAAAACTCTGCGAAAACAGAAGATCAATTTATATATATATATATATATATTCAGAGATGTTTCTTCTACTCCAAAGAGGGTGATTCTCCCAAAAAGATAAGCAGGTTATGTTCTGAAAACAGAGATAAACAGGAGAATAGGGAGTTGTTCAAAATTGGAAAATCAAACTAACCATCACGATTTGAGCTCTCACAAGGGGTAGTTGGGATTAGAAAGGGGTTAGGTTCTCTTTCAAAATACAAGTGATTGCCATAGGAGTTGACCGTTGAAAGCCAATCTGCCAAAACTGATAAAATCCCTTTTTCTTTGTATTTAAAATTAAGAGATCTTTTGAGAAATTTTGCCACCCATTATTAAAAGAATTACCCTATTCCGAAGCATTTCTTATAAATATAAGAGGGAGTGAACATGGGAAAAAAAAATCATCAATCAATGAAACAATCAAAAATCAACCAAAGGCAAAAACTCAAAATGATCACTTGATCACTGAGAACCTTCAAAGCAAACTGAAGCAACCAAAAGCCCATTTGAGCCATAGAAGAAGCCAGCTATAGATCAAGAAACTTCCAGGTTCAGACTTAGAGAAATAAGTCATTCAAAATGAGACTTCTCTCATTACAAATTTGGTTCAGCAAAAGCCAAAACAAGCAGAGTTCAAGTTTTCATAAATATGAAAACCTCAACAAATTTATGGAGAGCCCTAACCAAACAGAACAGGTACCATAGTGCAGTTTCGGCTCAGTAACCCTCAAGTCCAACCACTTATGCCCCGTTCAAACCAAAGAAGTTGCAGTTCTGCCCGTTCAAAAAGCCTTCCAGGGCTCGAAATAGATTGAAGCTTTGCCAAAATCAAACTTTGGTATCGATTTACAGTTGAAGCTTAGCAGTTGAAGCTGCTGACAGTTCAGTCTAGCACAGACATACCTAGTCCAGCCCGGATCAGAAGCTTCTGCCCAGGCAAAAATGGAATTTTAGCCACCTTTTTGTCTTTCTAGATTTGATTTTTCCCTCTCTAGTTTTGTAAAAGGCAATTCTACCTGAAATGGTCAATTTTATTTTCATTTATTAATGGCCAGAACTACCAATCTTGTACTAAGATAAATTGTGAAGTCCTCACTAGTCTGAGGCAGGAAAAGAACTTACTTGGGAGATATTCCTCACCCAAATTCACAATCGTTTGTTTAAGAAATCAGTAACTTGGGGAGCAAGCTATCTATTTTAAGAAGTCTGCTAGAATTGTTATTGGTAGTAGTGGCACGCTCGCACACTAAAGAAAGTTGACTTGTTGACCAGTTAATGGTTTTCAAGGCAATGGGGAACTTTACCCTACCATCACAGGAACAAAAACAAAACGGGCGAACAACAATATACGGTATGAATTGCTAAATTCTTTTATTCTTGGTTGTTCAATATTTTCATATCCTTTTATTTTGATTGATGTTAAGTGCTATTATCTTTTCATGAGTTCAATTATATTTTTCTCATTGTTAAGAACTGACTTGGCATGCTTTTAAATTAAAGGAGTAGATATTAAGCAACTCCATTTTCTGAACAATCATTAATAAAAGATTACATTGAAAAATTAAATTGGTTTTAATTTCTTTATCTTCCCGGTTAAAGTTTCTCAATGATGATTTTAATCGAGTTATAATTTGGATTAAAGAGCATGAAACATATTTTGTTTAAAGAATTGAACCTTGATGCCTTAGCATTTCCATTATTGATATTTCATTTTTAAACTCAATTTCCACAACAATAAAATCAAATTACTTTTCCATTTTGCTTGTCACTTTTATTGTGGTACGTTTAATTATTTCTTTGTGTGCAGATATTTGCCTACCTGCTCCTTGAGGATACGATACTTGGACTTTCAAGATTATTACTACGTGTGACTACTTGCACCTGGGTAGACGCAACAAGTTTTTGGCGCCGTTGCCGGGGAGCGATGAAGCGAAAAGTAGCACAAGGAAATTCATTGTTAAGGTTTGCAGTTTTAGTTTCCAAAGCTAATTCGGTAAGTCTTGTCAAACTCAATTTTTCATTTATGTTCTTATTTTGGTGTTTTTTGTTTGTTTTTGTCTTAGTTTTTTTTAATATTAAAATTTTTTTTAAAATTTAGTTTATATTTTATTTATTTATTTGTTGCTTCTTTATTTTGTTTATGAGATATCATGATAAGTTTGGTAGATTTGCATAGAAACCTCAATTTGACCAAATTTCATCACAAATGGTTGAGAATAATAATAATAATAATGCATTGGAAGGCTCCCAAAATGATGAAGATAATCATAGTGTTCATAATGATGAGAATCCACTTGTTAGGACATTACATGATTATTTGCATCCTGCTCTTACAAGTGTGCCATCTTGCATTATTTTTCCGTTGAATGGTCAAACTTTTGATTTTAAACCGGGCATGATACAACTTTTACCAACTTTTCATGGAATGGAATCTGAAAATCCAAACTCACTTCTTCATTGTCAATTCAAGAAATGGGTAAATTTCGTTCTCAAGTCCAACCTAATCCACATGCATAGTTAGTGGTAACTACCCCTTCTTCTTCTTCTTCTTTGAATGAAAATAAGCATGAATATGTGAAGGCTGTCACTACTCTTTGTAGTGGAAAAATAATTGGGAAAGATGATTTAGTAACAGTTGAAAATAAAAAGAATTCAGAAAAATCCAAAAATAATGAAAAAGAAAATAATGATTCTGAAATTGTTAAGTGCCCTTTTCCTGCCCCTTTCCCACAAGCACTTAAGGCTGTAAAGAAAAATCAAAATCCTAAAATTTTGGAGGTTTTTAAAGAAGTGAAAATCAATATACCTCTTTTGGATGCTATAAAACAAATTCCTTCATATTCAAATTTTTTAAAGCATTTATGCACTATCAAAAGAAAGCACAATGTTGAAAAGACCGCATTTTTAACTGAAAATGTAAGTGCAATTCTTCAAACTAATACTCCACCCAAGTACAAAGATCCAGGTTGTCCCACAATTTCTTGTATTATTGGGAATTTTAGCATTAAACAAGCTTTATTGGATTTGGGTGCTAGTGTTAATTTGTTGCCTTACTCGGTTTATAAGCAATTGGGTCTTGATGAATTAAAACCCACCTCAATAACATTGCAATTGGCTGACCGTTCAGTCAAAATCCCAAGAGGTATGGTGGAAGATGTGCTGGTTCAGGTAGACAAATTTTATTTTCCAGTTGATTTTATAGTTTTGGATACTGAACCAGTTGTGTATTCTAATTCTCAAATTCATGTTATTCTTGGAAGACCATTTCTTGCTACATCTAATGCTCATATAAATTGCAGGAATGGACTTATGCAACTATCATTTGGGAACATGACATTGGAGCTCAACATATTCAACATATGCAAGCAGCCTGCAAACAATGAAGATGACAAAGAAGTTTACATGATCGAGACAATTGTTCAAAATTGCTTTAATTCTTCTTTTTCTTCTGATCCATTGCAAATTTGTTTAGTAAATGGGGATTGTAATTTTGCACAAGATTTTGAAGTACAATATCTTTGTTCTTTATTGGATTTTGTGCAGGTACAAGAACATAATGGTTGGGTACCAAAATTTGAGGAGCTGCCAATTGTGAGTGATGAGACAAAATCATCAAGAGAAGAAGCCCCAAAGTGTGAATTGAAGCCTCTTCCTGCTGGACTTAAATATGCTTTTTTGGGAGAAGATGAGACCTATCATGTGGTAATATCTTCTAAACTAGAGCTTTTGCATGAAGTTATGTTACTTAAAGTTTTGAAAGATCATAGGACTGCTATTGGATGGACTTTAGCTGATATTAAAGGTATTAGTCCTTTGGTTTGCCCACACAAAATTTTTCTTGAAGAAGATGCTAAACCAGTTAGGCAGGCTCAACGTAGACTAAACCCAACAATGAAAGAAGTTGTACAAAAAGAAGTACTTAAACTTTGGGACGCAGGTATCATATGTCCAATTTTTGATAGCAAATGGGTGAGTCCTACACAGGTTGTTCCTAAAAAATTAGGAGTCACAGTAGTTGAAAATGATAATGGAGAAATGGTACCAACTAGGATCACTACTGGATCGAGAATGTGTATTGATTATCGTAAATTGAACTCAGTCACAAGAAAGGATCATTTTCCTTTACCATTTCTTGACCAAATATTGGAAAGAGTTGCAGGGTATATGTATTATTGTTTTTTAGATGGTTACTCAGGATATTATCAAATTGAGATTTTATTAGAAGATCAAGAAAAAACAACTTTTACTTGCCCATTTGGAACTTTCGCTTTTAGAAAAATGCCTTTTGGTCTTTGCAATGCACCAGCTACATTCCAACGTTGCATGATAAGCATATTTAGTGACATGGTAGAAAAATATTTAGAAGTTTTCATGGATGATATTACTATGTTTGGTGATTCATTTTCTGATTGTTTATCTAACTTGGAGAATGTTCTTATCAGGTGTAAAGAGAAAAATTTGGTGCTTAACTGGGAGAAATGCCAATTCATGGTCACATCTGGCATTGTACTTGGACACATTGTTTCTCATAAAGGAATTGAAGTGGATAAGTCAAAAATTGATTTAATTGCTAATTTGCCTATTCCTAAAACTGTTAAAGATATTAGATCTTTTTTAGGACATGCATGTTTCTATCGGAGATTCATACAAAATTTTAGTGCAATTGCAAGGCCATTGAATAATCTATTGGAGAAAGATGCTAAATTTGATTGGAATTATGCATGTCAAGAAGCATTTGAGAAATTGATTAAAATGCTAACATCAACTCCTGTAATGCAGCCCCCAGATTGGTCCATGCCATTTGAAATAATATGTGATGCTAGTGATGGTGCTATTAGGGCAGTGCTAGGCCAAAGAAAAGACAAGAAGCCTGTTGTTATCTGCTACGCAAGCAAAACTTTGAATAGTGCACAGAAAAATTACACTACAACTGAAAAAGAATTGCTTGCTGTAGTTTTTGCATTGGAAAAGTTTAGGTCATATATTTTGGGCTCACAAATTGTTGTTTTTACAAATCATTCGGCCTTAAAGTATTTATTGACAAAGAAGGAAGCCAAATCACGATTGATTAGATGGATTTTGCTTATCCAAAGAATTTGATCTTACAATCAAGGACAAGAAAGAAGTGGAGAATGTTGTTGCAGACCATCTTTCTAGGATATCTTTTCAGGAGCCTTCTGAATATTTGCCTATAAAAGATTCATTTCTTGATGAACAATTGTTTGGTGTTTCTAAATTCCTATGGTTTGCTAACATTGTGAATTTTCTTGCTATAGGTCTTATCCCACCTCATTGGACCTCACAAGAGAAAAAGAAATTTATGGTTGAGGTGAGAAAATTCTTTTGGGATGATCCGTATCTCTTCAAATATTGTCCCGACCAGGTAATCCGTAGATGTGTTCCTGATGATGAAATATTTAGTGTCATATCTTTTTGTCATTCTGAGGCTTGTGGAGGTCACTTTTCTTCCAAAAAGACTTCGGCCAAAATTCTTAAATGTGGTTTTTATTGGCCTTGACTTTTCAAAGATGTGTATGAATTTTGCAAGACTTGTCCAAGTTGTCAAAAGTTGGGAAAAATTACTCGAGTAATATGATGCCTCTTAACCCAATTTTAATTATTGAAATTTTTGACTGTTGGGGCATTGATTTTATGGGTCCTTTTCCTCCATCTTTTGGTTACTGATATATCCTTGTTGCTGTGGATTATGTTTCAAAATGGATTGAGGCCATACCATGTCGGAAGAATGATCATAAAACTGTTTTGAAATTTTTGAAAGAAAATGTATTGTCCAGGTTTGGTACTCCTAGAGCGATCATCAATGATGGAGGATCACATTTTTGCAACCGACCATTTGAAGGTTTGATGAAAAAATATGGGATAACCCATAAGATTTCCACTCCATACCATCCACAGACAAATGACCAAGCAGAACTTGCAAACAGGGAAATCAAGCAAATTTTGGAAAAGACGGTGAATCCAACCCGGAAGGATTGGTCATTGAGACTAACTGATGCCTTGTGGGCATACCGTACTGCATACAAATCACCTCTTGGTATGTCTCCATATAGGCTAGTTTATGGTAAACCTTGTCATTTACCTGTTGAATTAGAACATAAAGCATATTGGGCTATCAAATTGTTTAACTTTAGTCTTGGAGATGCAGGTACCTTGAGAAAACTCCAATTGAATGAACTTGAGGAAGTCAGGAATGATGCATATGAGAACTCACGAATTTACAAAGAACGTACTAAAGTTTTTCATGATAAAAATATTTTGAGGAAAAATTTTAAGCCTTCTCAACTTGTTCTTTTGTATAATTCTAGACTTCATTTGTTTCCTGGAAAATTAAGAACTAAATGGACAGGGCCTTTCATTGTTAAAAAAGTTTTCCCACATGGGACTGTTGAAGTTGAGGATCCCAAGAATGGAAATATTTTTAAGGTTAATGGCCAACGACTTAAACCTTACTTGGGGAGATGTGTTCCAAAAGATGAGACAGTTTCTTTGAACGAACCTGTTTACCAGGATTGATTGGACTTCCCTTAGTCCATCTGTTATATTTAATTACTTTAGAAATTTTTGTTCACTTGAAAAAAAAAATTCGACATTTTTGTTTGTTTTGTTTTTACACTAACACGTTGTAGGCTTTCACTTTGGATGTCAATTCTCAAGTAACACTACCCTCTTCTTTTTTATGCTTATATGTTTAAACATTGAGGACAATGTCAATCTTTGGTTGGGGGTGGAGAAGATGTGTTTATTGTATTATTTTCTTGTTGCAACATGTTAGTTTTTCTTTCATTTTTGTCTTTGTTTTTTTGGTTTTGTTTTTTTATTTTTTTTTGGTTTTTTTTTAATTTCTGTTTATTGAGGGTCGCTAACCCTACACCTAGTGCCTTAAAGCCTTTTTGGTTTGAGAGTCGCTAGCCTAACACTCGCTATATAGGTTAATTAGAAAGCTTAATGGAGCTAAGCATTGCACAGCCCACATAAAGAAAAAATAGTATATTAAATAAAATAAAAAACAAAACAAAACAACAACAAAAAACCTTGGTTTGTTTCTTGCAAGGGAGTTCGACAACTCTTGAGATCAAAAGGTTGGTGTGATTGGAATTTAGCTAATGCCACTCAATTGTGTTGGTACACTTTACACCAAAGGAAATATGTGAAAAGTTTGCTGGCTAATTATAAATGATTTGGACTTCGAGATGGGATTACTTGAAATGTTAAATAAGTGTTCTTTCTTTTAACGTTGTTCGTGAATTGAAAGTTTGGACTTTGTGCTTTGTCCTTTTTGTTGGTGACAGATATTGAAACTATTTTTCAAATTTTATTTTATTTCATGTTTCTGAATAATTGTGCTAGCCTCGTACTTGATGTTAGTGGGTATCATCCCTGGAAACCTTCATGAGACTACAACTCGTCCTTTAGGGGTAACCTTAGGGTTTAAAGGCTTGTTGCATACGCTAAATGCAATCGTATCCCGCGAAAGTGGCTTAGCTATTTTAGTTGTTTTTATCTATTTTATTTTCTCATTTTTACTTAAATTTGAGTTTCTTTTAGTCGCTTGAATTGCTAGAGACTAGCAATAAGCTGGTTGGGGGTTGTGATGAGAATCTCAAATTACATATTTTAAATATTATTTTGGAGACTTTATGATATAATTTCACTTGTTGTTACATTTTATTCTCACCAACCGGATTTATGAATTTTCTATATTAATTTGGTGAACTTATTAGGTGAATTTATCTTCTGTAGAAAGCTGGAAAGCAAAAAGATGAAGACATACATTTGTCCAAGTTCAAGCTAGGTGTGAAGAGAATTGCTGGCAGATTTTATTGAAGAATTGATTGAGGGATTATTGTGATTATAAAGAGAAGTAAAGAGGGAGAAGAGAAGACAAAACCGTTGAAGCTAAAGAGCCTATTTCATGTCATTCATAGCCATTTAACGCCCACCTACCTCACCATTATTTCTTTTCGACTAACCCTCCACCATCAACACATGTTTAATCCAATTAATCCCTCAATTAAACCCTTCATCACCCACCACGAATGTATTAACTTCCCACTCACCTCATTGACTACTATAAATCACCCATCAACTTATTTGGCAAGGGCACCCCTATGATAGATTTCTTTATCCATTTAGTTTATGTTTTCCTTTGTAATGAGTTGCTAGAACTCTAGCTAAGGCTAAAAGTAATGTTCTTTGAATAATTTGTGAATTGTTCTTTAATCCAATATATGGTATCAATTGCTAAATTCTTTTATTCTTGTTTGTTCAATATTTTCATATCCTTTTATTTTGATTGATGTTAAGTGCTATTATATTTTCATGAGTTCAATTATATTTTTCCCATTGTTAAGAACTGACTTGGCATGCTTTTAAATCAAAAGAGTAGATATTAAGCAACTCCATTTTCTGAACAATTAATAATAAAAGATTACATTGAAAAATTAAATTGGTTTTAATTTCTTTACCTTCCGGTTAAAGTTTCTCAGTGATGATTTTAATCGAGTTATAATTTCGATTAAAGAGCATGAAACATATTTTGTTTAAAGAATTGAACCTTGGGCGCAATCCGATATCGATTATGATGTTCCCCAAGTTTTTGGGCTCAATCCGATATCGATTCGTCCAAGAAATTGGACAATTCAGGTTCGTACGAAGTTCGTTCTAAAATGGAGTGGTTGGTGTATTGCATAGTTTTATCAATTGGATTTCACCAAATGACTCCTCCCACCAAAATTGTGATGTTCCCTAAGTTTTGGACTCAATCCGACATTGATTGGTCCATGAAATTGGACAATTCAGGCTCGTACGAAGTTCGTTCTCAAATGGAGTGTTTGGTGTATTGCACAGTTTTAAGGATTGGATTTCACTCAAAACCCCACAAATGACTCCTCCCACCACATTATGATGTTCCCCAAGTTTTGGACCCCATCCGATATCGATTTGTCCTTGAAATCGGATAATTCAGGTTTGTACGAAGTTCGTTCTAAAATGGAGTGGTTGGTGTATTGCACAGTTTTATCCATTGGATTTCACTCAAAAACCAACCAAATGACTCCTCCCACAATATTATGTTGTTCCCCAAGTTTTGGACTCAATCCGATATCGATTCGTCCATGAAATTGGACAATTCAGGTTCGTACGAAGTTCGTTCTGAAATGGAGTGGTTGGTGTATTTCATAGTTTTAGCCATTGGATTTCACTCAAAACTCACCAAATGACTCCTCCCACAACATTATGATGTTCCCCAAGTTTTGGATTCAATCCGATATTGATTGGTCCATGAAATCGGACAATTCAGGTTCGTACGAAATTCGTTCTGAAATGGAGTGGTTGGTGTATTGCATAGTTTTAGTCATTGGATTTCACTCAAAACACCAAATAACTCCTCCCACCATATTATGATGTTTCCCCAAGTTTTGGGCTCAATCCGATATCGATTGGTCCAGGAAATTTGAGAATTCAGGTTTGTACGAAGTTCGTTCTAAAATGGAGTGGTTGGTGTATTGCATATATTTATCCATTGGATTTCACTCAAAACACACCAAATGACTCCCACCACATTATGATGTTCCCCAAGTTTTGGACTCAATCCGATATCGATTGGTCCATGAAATTGGACAATTCAGGTTCGTACGAAGTTCGTTTCTGAAATGGAGTGGTTGGTGTATTGCATAGTTTTATCCATTTGATTTCACTCAAAACACACCCAATGACTCCTCCCACAACATTATGATGTTCCCCAAGTTTTGGACTCAATCCGATATCGATTGGTCCGTGAAATTGGACGATTCAGGTTCGTACGAAGTTCGTTCTGAAATGGAGTGGTTGGTGTATTGCATTGTTTTATCCATTGGATTTCACTCAAAACACACCAAATGACTCCTCCCACAACATTATGATGTTCCCCAAGTTTTGGACTCAATCCGATATCGATTGGTCCCTGAAATGGGACAATTCAAGGTTCGTACGAAGTTTGTTCTAAAATGGAGTGGTTGGTGTATTGCATAGTTTTATCCATTGGATTTCACTCAAAACACACCAAATGACTCCTCCCACCATTATGATGTTTCCCAAGTTTTGGACTCAATCCGATATCGATTGGTCCATGAAATTGGACAATTCAGGTTCGTACGAAGTTCGTTTTGAAATGGAGTGGTTGGTGTATTGCATAGTTTTCTATTGGATTTCACTCAAAACACACCAAATGACTCCTCTCCCAACATTATGGTGTTCCCCAAGTTTTGGACTCAATCCGATATCGATTGGTCATCAAATCGGACAATTCAGGTTCGTACGAAATTCGTTCTGAAATGGAGTGGTTGGTGTATTGCATAGTTTTAGCCATTGGATTTCACTCAAAACTCACCAAATGACTCCTCCCACCATATTATGACGTTCCCCAAGTTTTGGGCTCAATCCGATATCTATTGGTCCAAGAAATTGGACAATTCAGGTTCGTACGAAGTTCGTTCTAAAATGGAGTGGTTGATGTATTGCATAGTTTTATCAATTGGATTTCACTCAAAACACCAAATGACTCCTCCCACAAAAATTGTGATGTTCCCCAATTTTTGGACTAAATCCGATATCGATTGGTCCATGAAATGGACAATTCAGGTTCGTATGAAGTTCGTTCTGAAATGGAGTGGTTGGTGTATTGCACAATTTTAGAGATTGGATTTCACTCAAAACCCAACCAAATGACTCCTTCCCACCATATTATGATGTTCCCCAAGTTTTGGACCCCATCCGATATCGATTTGGTCCATGAAATTGGATAATTCAGGTTTGTACGAAGTTCGTTCTAAAATGGAGTGGTTGGTGTATTGCATAGTTTTAGCCATTGGATTTCACTCAAAAACCACCAAATGACTCCTCCCACAATATTATGTTGTTCCCCAAGTTTTGGACTCAATCCGATTTCGATTGGTCCATGAAATTGGACAATTCAGGTTCGTAGGAAGTTCGTTCTGAAATGGAGTGGTTGGTTTATTTCATAGTTTTAGCCATTGGATTTCACTCAAAACCAACCAAATGACTCCTCCCACAACATTATGTTGTTCCCCAAGTTTTGGATTCAATCCGATATCGATTGGTCCATGAAATCATGACAATTCAGGTTTGTACGAAATTCGTTCTGAAATGGAGTGGTTGGGGTATTGCAATAGTTTTAGCTATTGGATTTCACTCAAAAAAAACCACCAAATAATTCCTTCCACCATATTATGATGTTCCCCAAGTTTTGGGCTAAATCCGATATCGATTGGTCCATGAAATTGGACAATTCAGGTTCGTACGAAGTTCGTTCTGAAATGGTGTGTTTGGTGTATTGCATAGTTTTGGCATTGGATTTCACTCAAACCACCCCAAATGACTCCTCCCACAACATTGTGATGTTCCCCAAGTTTTGGACTCAATCCGATATCGTTTGGTTCATGAAATCGAACAATTCAGGTTCGTACGAAATTCGTTCTGAAAAGGAGTGGTTGGCGTATTGCATATAGTTTTAGCCATTGGATTTCACTCAAAACTCACCAAATGACTCCTACCACAACATTATGATGTTCTCCAAGTTTTGGACTCAATCCGATATCGATTGGACACGAAATTGGACAATTCAGGTTCGTACGAAGTTTGTTCTGAAATGGAGTTGTTGGTGGATTGCATAGTTTCTACATATTGGATTTCACTCAAACCCACCAAACGACTCCTCCCACCACATTATGATGTTCCCCAAGTTTAGGACTCAATCCAAAGTCGATTGGTCCATTTAATCGGACAATTCAAGCTTGTACGAAGTTAGTTTTGAAATGGAGTGGTTGGTGTAATGCATAGTTTTGGCTATTGAATTTCACTCAAAACTCGCCAAATGACTCCTCCTGCAACATTATGATCATCCCCAAGTTTGCCCCCGGTATGTTCTTGTCATTGATTCCCCCTCTGCCTCTTTTGCCTCTTGCTGGTGGAGGAAATGGATTAAGATCCATCCTTCTAGGTCTGTAAGGCAACACAGCTGGTGCGTCAGGCGAACGTGCTAGGGGCTAATCACGTGGGGCCACAGGTTGTGGAATAGGTGGAGGGTCCGGCTAATTTTGTTGGACCTGGACTAGTGCAAGGCCTTCTGGCCAAACTAGAGCCTCCTGCTTTTGGATAGGAGGGGCTCCTCCCCTCTATCCAGGTTGGATCTCTCCACGCCCTGGTATTCCAGCTATCTGTGCGATGAGAGGATTCTCTTGGTATGGCCATGCCAATCCTGGTGGAGGGCCATAAGGGAGGTCTAGCTGCTGGACTACAACATCCAGGTTTGGAATTCTGGCCATAGCAGCCTCACGGTCTTTCCTGAACTGCCTACTAACTTGCCATTGCATCATGGTTGTCATGTTATTCAGAGTGTCCTGGCTCCTTTGTGCTATAGCCTCCTGTCGGAACACAACTTCATGTATTTGATTCAACCTCTTGGAACCAGCCCTAGAGCGTCTACTTCCGGTACTGCCATGGGCTGATTGCCTAAATCACTTTCTTCTAACTCTAGTCATTCTCGAAGAGCTGCTTGATCTCTTTCCATTGCGTAGCGTGGGTTTTGGCTAGAACTTCCAATATTCATATACTTTAGCAAATTTCTTTAGGAGTATGTACACTGAGAAGTCCCACTAGGCGTGCCAAATTGTTCACCCATTTAGTGTTTGCTCCTGTGATGGAAGGGCAAAGTTCCCCATTTCCTCGAAAACCATTGACTGGTTAATAAGCAAACTTTCTTTGGTGTGCGAGCGTGCCACTGCACCCAAAGTTACTGATTTCTAAACAAGCGATTGTGAATTTGGGTGAGGAATATCTCCCAAGTAAGTTATTTTCTTGCCTCAGACTGGTGAGGACTTCACAATTTATCTCAGTACAAGATTGGTAGTTCTGGGCAGAATAAATGATAATGAAGTGAACTATTTTAGACAGAACTGCCTTTTACAAAACTAGAGAGGGAAAAATCAACTCTAGAAAGACAAAAAGATGGTTGAAATTCCATTTCTGCCTGGATAGAAGCTTTTGATCCGGGCTGGACTGGGTATGTCTGTGCTGGACTGAACTCTCAACAACTTCAACTAGTTAGCTTCAGCTATAAATCGATACCAAAGCTCAATCTTGGCAAAGCTTTAATCTATTTCAAGCCCTGGAAGGCTTTTTGAAAGGGCAGAACGGCAACTTCTTTGGTCTGAAAGGGGCAGAAGTGGCTGGACTTGAGGATTATTGAGCTGGAATTGCACTATGGTACCTGTTCTGCTTGATCAGGGCTCTTCATAAATTTGTTGAGGTTTTCATATTTGTGAAAACTCAAACTCTGCTTGTCTTGGCTTTTGCTGAACCAAATTTGTAACGAGAGGAGTCTCGTTTTGAATGACTTATTTCTCTAAGTCTGAACTTGGAAGTTCTGATCTATAGCTGGCTTCTCTTGTGGCTCAAATGAGCTTCTGGTTGCTCCAGTTTGTTTTGAAGGTTCTCAGTGATCAAGTGATCATTTTGAGTTTTTGCCTTTGGTTGATTTTTGATTGTTGAATTTTTTGTGTCCCTCGCTCTGTTCACCCTCTCTTATATTTATAAGAAATGTTTTGTAGTAGGGTTTCTTTCTTTTAATAATGGGCGGCAAATTTCTCAAAAGATCTTTCATTTTTCAATGCAAAGAAAAAGGATTTTGATCTTTTAGTTTTAGAGTTTATAGAGAAAATTTTGCAAATGACTTGTGTTGATTTAATTAACAATCACTTCCTCCATGATAGTCGAATTTGTTGACTTTTCTAAGTCAGGTAGTCACTTGAATTCTGAACATAGGCTTTCCAAAAAAGGTCGTTTGATTTTGCACACCAGGTTTTGAGATCAGAAGTCGGGCCCAATCCAATTTTTCTTTTGAATTTTTATTGATCTGCATCAATGGTGGATTGCCACTCAATATTTTAAAATCAAAACCCAGTCCTCCGTTTCTTCTGTATTGGGGGCCTTTGTGAGAAGTGGGCTGGTGTGTGGTTGCCTTTGGCCCAAACAGAACTTCAATTGTCTAATTTCTTAGTTTAATCGATATCGGATTGAGCCCAAAACTGAGTCAAGATCATAATATGGTGGGTGGAGTAATTTGGTGAGTTTTGAGTGAAATCTAGTGGCTAAAACTATGCCATACACCAAGCCCTCCATTTACGGAACGAACTTCGTACGAACTTGAATTGTCCAATTTCTTCGTTCAATCAATATCTGATTGAGTCCAGAACTGGGTCAACAACATAATATGGTGGGGGGAGTCATTTGTTGAGTTTTGGGTGAAATCCAACGGCAAAAACTTTACAATACACCAACCACTCCATTTACGGAAAGAACTTCATACGTACTTGAATTGTCCAATTTCTTAGTTCAATCAACATCGAATTGAGCTCAAAACTTGGTCAACATCATAATATGGTGGGAGGATTCATTTTGGGTGTTTTGCGTGAAATCCAATCGCTAAAACTATACGATACACCAACCACTCCATTTGCAGAACGAACTTCGTAGGAACTTGAATTGTCAAATTTCTTGGATCAACCGATATCGGATTGAGCCCAAAACTTGGTGAACATCATAATATGGAGGGATGAGTCATTTGGCGTGTTTTGAGAGAAATCCATTTGCTAAAACTATGTAATACACCAACCACTCCTTTTGTGGAATGTACTACGTAGGAACATGAATTTTCCAATTTCTTGGATCAATCGATATCGTTTTGAACCCAAAACTTGGTCAACATCATAATATGGTAGGAAGATTAATTTGGTGAGTTTTGAGTGAAATCCAATTGCTAAAACTATGCAATACACATACCACTCCATTTTTGGAATGAACTTCGTACGTACTTGAATTGTCCAATTTCTTGGTTCAATTGATATCGAATTTAGCATAAAACTTGGTCAAGATCATAATATGGCGGGCGGAGTCATTTCGTGAGTTTTGAGTGAATTCCAATTACAAAAACATGCATTACACCAACCACTCCACTTACAGAATGAACTTCGTACGAACTTGAAATCTCCAATTTCATGGTTCAATCGATATCGGATAGAGCCCAAAACTTGGTCAGCATCATAATATAGTAAAAGGAGTCATTTGGTGAATTTTTGAGTGAAATCCAATTGCAAAAACATGCTATACACCAACCACTCCATTTATGGAATGAACTTCGTTCAAACTTGAATTGTCCAATTTCTTTGGCCAATCAATATCGGATTGAGCCCAGAACATGGGCAATGTATAATCTGGTGGGAGGAGTGAATTGGTGTGTTTTGAGTGGAATTTAATCACTAAAACTATGCAATACACCAACCACTCCATTTACGGAACGAACTTCGAACGAACTTGAATTGTCCAATTTCTAGGTCCAATCGATATTGGATAGATCCCAAAACTTAGTCAACATCATAATATAGTGGGAGGAGTCTTTTGGTGAGTTTTGAGTGAATTCCAATTACAAAAACATGCAATACATCAACCACTCCATTTAAGGAATGAACTTCGTACGAACTTGAATTGTCCAATTTATTGGTTTAATCGATATCGGATTGAACTCAAAACTGGGTCAAGATCATAATATGGTGGGTGGAGTCATTTGGGGAGTTTTGAGTGAAATCCAGTGGCTAAAACAATGCAATACAACAAGCCCTCCATTTACGGAACGAACTTCGTACGAACTTGAATTGTCCAATTTCTTCGTTCAATCGATATTCGATAGAGTCCAGAACTGAGTCAACAACATAATATGGTGGGAGGAGTCATTTGGTGAGTTTTGGGTGAAATCTAATGGCTAAAACTTTAGAATACACCAACCACTCCATTTACAGAAAAAACTTTGTACGTACATGAATTGTCCAATTTCTTAGTTCAATCGATATCGGATTGAGCCCAAAACTTGGTCAACATCATAATATGGTGGGAGGAGTCATTTTGGGTGTTTTGAGTGAAATCCAATTGCTAAAACTATGCAATACATCAACCACTCCATTTGCGGAACGAACTTCGTAGGAACTTGAATTGTCCAATTTCTTGGATCAATCGATATCGGATTGAGCCCAAAGCTTGGTGAATATCATAATATGGAGTGATGAGTCATTTGGTGTGTTTTGAGATAAATCCATTTGCTAAAACTTTGCAATACACCAACCACTCCTTTTGTGAAACGTATTTCGTAGGAACATGAATTCTCCAATTTCTTGGATTAATTGATATCGTTTTGAACCCAAAACTTGGGTCAACATCATAATATGGTAGGAAGATTAATTTGGTGAGTTTTGAGTGAAATCCAATTGCTAAAACTATGCAATAAACCAACCACTCCATTTACACAACGAACTTCATGCGAACCTGAATTGAACAATTTATTGGGTCAATCGATATCGGATTGATCCCAAAACTTGGTCAACATCATAATATGTTGGGACGAGTCATTTGGTGGTTTTCAGAGAAATCCAATTGCTGAAACTATGCAATACACCAACCACTCCGTTTACGTAATGAACTTTGTACGAACTTGAATTGTCCAATTTCTTGGTTCAATTGATATCGGATTGAGCCCAAAATTTGGAACATCATAATATGGTGGGAGGAGTCATTCGTTGGTTTTTGAGTGAACCCCAATGGCTAAAACTATGCAATAAACCAACCACTCCATTTCATAACGAACTTCGTACGAACTTGAATTGTCCAATTTCTTTGGCCAATCAATATGGGATAGAGCCCAAAACTTGGGCAACATCATAATGTGGTGGGAGGAGTCAATTGGTGTGTGTTGAGTGAAATCCAATCTCTAAAACTCTGCAATACACCAACCACTCCATTTACGGAAAGAACTTCGTACAAACTTGAATTGTCCAATTTCTTGGATCCATCGATATCGGATTGAGCCCAAAACTTGGTCAACATAATATGGTGGGAGGAGTAATTTGGTGAGTTTTCTAAAACTATGCAATACACGAACCACTCCATTTACAGAACGAGCTTCGTACGAACTTGAATTGTCCAATTTTTTGGAATCGATATCGAATTGAGGCCAAAACTTGGGCAACACCATAATATGGTGGGAGGAGACATTTGGTGAGTTTTGAGTGAAATCCAATGGCTAAAACTAGGCAATACACCAACCACTCCATTTACGGCACAAACTTCATACGAACATGAATTGTCCAATTTCTTAGTCCAATCGATATCGGATTGAGCCCAAAACTTGGTCAACATCATAAATGGTGGGAGGAATCATTTGGTGAGTTTTGAGTGAAATCCAATCGCCAAAACTATGCAATACAACAACCACTGCATTTATGGAAAAAACTTCGTACGAACTTGAATTGTCCAATTTCTTGGGTCAATC